GCATAAAAAAAGTGGAATATGCCAGAAAGCAAACGCAAAAGAAGGCGGAAAAAGAAGCCGCACCTAAAAGAAAAAAAAACACGAAAAACAATCTATTACATCACTAGGAAAATTGACACAGGCATTAGAGACATTTACACACACACACCCATATAATCGTGTGTGTGGGAACCAAAGAGAAAAAACGGAAACCAATTGAGAAACAAAAAAAAAAAAAAATAATGAATTATATTACTTGACCCCTTAAAAAAAAAAAAAGCATGTGAAAAGCTTCTAACCAATAAAAAAAAAGATAAGATTATGGGGCGGGCCTTTTGGTTATTTTCATAAATCTGCTTGCAACTCTCTGAGTCATTGAAAAAGCTGGGAAATTTCTTAAGAGATTCTTTTGTGAATTATTCATCTACAGATACAATCTTATATCAAAAGAATCTATAAGAAACCTTATGAATTACGTAAATTTATCAACCAAATAGGGGGAAAATAATCCAAAATAAAACCTAATAAGTAAGACCTACATTTTCACTTAAATAAATAACCCTTTTTACTCCATTTTAGGCATAAAAATAAAAAAAAATATATCTTTATATTCCTAGAATTCATCTAAAACACGTTAAACCCACACTACGCTCTACAAAATATATTCCTAAGATTTGTTGTGCCTTGCTGCCATCCTTTACCGTTTCGACCCTCTTCGAGCCAACTACAAAAAGCTAGAAACTTCTTTTTTTCATTTCCAAGAAAAAATTCAGTGAAAATATTCCTTTACCCGAAAGAGATACAAGAGCGAGAGATATCTGTCAGATATAGAGAGAGCCACAAGCGACAAAGCGACACCGCGAGAGCGCAACTACAAAAGCAGGCGAATTACGGCGAATTCAGAACGGCAGCGGCCGCAGCAGCGGAGGCGTCAACGACAGCGGTGCCAAGTTCGTTGAAATTTCGAATGTGTGACATGCTATTCAGTCGGCCGCCAGCGGCGACTCCGAAAAGCGCGCGCCAGAGGGCGGCCGACTATTGAGGGGGCGTGGCGACGGCCAAATGGGGCCGAGGGGAGGGGGGCGTGGCGACGGCCAACCCACAGCCTGTCTGCGGCTGGGCTTTTGGCTATTTTCCCATTGTGGAATGCGAAATAAATGCGAGGAATGTGACGAAAGCGATGTGACGCTCGCTCTCGCTCACAGTCACATATACACACGCACGCACCGAAAATAGCAGTCGACGTACTAGTAGTAGTAGTTGGTAGTGAAAAGAAGAAGCAGCCCTCCCGACACTTCAATTCGTGACGTCATCCCGCCCACTAAAAAACACTCGAAAGTATTGAAAAATGCAGACATTTGGTTTGGTTTTTTTTTTTTAAAGCAACTCTCTTTTTAGTTAATGTTTATTGGTTTTTTCATGGTTTCTTATTTTTTTCTGTGGATTTTTTTTTTGTTGTAATCACTGCTGAAAAGTATAAGCTAGCACGCTCTCTGTCGCTCTCTCTCTCTCGCTCTTGGCCTCTGCTCTCTTTTGGCGCTTTGTGGTTTGAATGAAAGCGAGCCACAAAGCTGCAAAATCGAGACTCGTGTTTTTTTTTGGAGAAACAAAAGGAATGATGGGGGGGGGGAGGTGGGAGAGAAATGTGTGTTTAATTTCAATTTTAATGAAAATTTTTCAAAATTTTGCTATCCAGGTGATTTACAATGAATGTACGATGTTAAAAAACGAGAAAAAAAGGATGAATTGTCAGAAAATCGGATGGGGGGAAAAACGGGTTATGAAATGAGAGCGAGAGAGCAAGAGGAAGTGAGGTGGGTGAGAGAGGGAGAGGGCCAAAAGTTACATTTGAATTTCCTTTCAACTAAAGATTGTTTCTTTGTTCTTACGAACGATTAAAACTAAACTTAACTAGGCTTACAATTTGTATAGAGATAGAGAGACAACTAAAACGAAAAAATTCAAGTTGGGGTAAAGAGAAAATCAAAATAAGAAAAATAAAGTAAGAAATGTAAAGAATGAAACGAAAAAAATCACCTTTTTTCAGTAGGTCGCGTCGTAATGTGGTGCTAGTTTTGTATTCTCCCGTTGCTCTCTTTTGTGGCTCTCGTCGCTCTCCTCAGCGATTTTGTAGCTTGTGGCCAGGCGACAGCGATGGCGGCGGCGGCGACGACCCTATGTCTCGCTCCCCAGCTGATGTGCTGCTCGTCCCTCTCCTATCCCTTTCACACTAACGGTTGGCTTGCCTTGCAGCGGAGCTCTGCTGCCGTCTCGCTCGCACTTGCGCTCCGCTGCCAAATTCGCTGATTAGGATTTTCGCCGCTCTCTCTCTCTCTCCCTCTCTCTTGGAATTGATTATCCGTTTTTTTTCTTTCGAATTTTCGAATTTTCACTTTTCAATGTTTCAAGACAACTAAAGTTGATTGGTTTTTCTTAGTTTAGTTTGTCGTTGATGATTTGACGTTTGTTTTTGTGGGTGTTGGGGCTTTTGATTCTTCTAAAAGTTGGGGGGGTGGAGGAGGGAAACAGCGATTGAGTTCAGCAAGCAAATGAAATGAAATGGAACTCAAAGCGAATTGAGCGAACGAAAAAAAACGCGGCGAAAACAGCACTATGGCAATGGCATTGGGAGCTCCGCGCGTTTTCTCAGTGTGTGGGGCCACGGCGGCGGCGATAAACGCGAGCGAAACGCGCGGCGCAACAAAAGTTCATAAAGCACATAATACAGCGCATGCTCTCTTATCGTCTGGCGTCTGGCTGGCTCTCTCTCTCACTCTCCGTCTCTCTTTGCACTCCACACACGTTTTCCGCTTTTGTGGCGCCGCGCGAGTTTTGTCGCTCGGACCGCGCGAGCAGCAACACGCAATAAAAGTTCAAAACAGTTGAAGTATTCCGCGACGCGAGTAAAAATCTTTCCTTCAACGTCGTCGTCGTTGTCGTCGCCGCAGTCAGTTGTTGTTGTAGTTGTCGTCGTTGTTGCTATTGTCTCGTCTTTCGCGAATTTCGCCAGCGGAGCGCCCCTGCCACCAGAATTCTTGGTTTTCAAATACTATTAGTTAATGGCTGTGCCTCGAAAATGTTCCCAAAAAAACCTATAATTCTTCTGAAATTCTATTTCTTTTCATTTTTTTTTTTTGGTTGTAAAATTTAATCTGCAATATCATGGTGTGCGTTTTTCATTTCATTGATTTGCTTGCTGAAATAATCTTGTTTGCTCGGTGTCTTAATTTCTGTATCTTCTTTAATTATATTTCGTAAATTTTTGTATATTTATGCGTACCAGGGGCAAAAAAAAAAATAAGAATGACCAAAAATAAATTCTGAGAGCACAAGTCGGAGCACACACGGTAATACGTCTTCACGCGAGCGCAACAAAAACCAACCTTAACCATACCAACCTACTCGTATTCGTATTCGATTCTAGGGATGACGAAAACACATGTCGATATATCGATATGTACTATCGCACATGCTCGCGGTAGAGTAACATCAATGGTCACACTTTTTCAGTACAATTCAAACCTATCAACAGACAATGCTGAATGAAAACCAGGGCTTTTGAAACTATCGATAGTTAACAGCCTTCAAAACACAGCGAAAAGTGAAAAAGCCATGAGTTTAGCGGTCTTTGATAGTTTTCCGCGGACTATCGCCTCCAAATCCCTTAAGTCTGGTAACACTATGTGGCTTCAAATGGGTCAACAATTTGGGTTATTAACGAAATTAAGGGGTTCGATTGTTTTTATAATGATTGCAATTGTGCCCTAGACCAATTAAAAAATCAAATGAATTGGAAAATTTGTTATTGGCTAAAGAAAAGAGCACTACCACTAACATAAGTGACGTTTAAACAACGGTCCCTCTAACGTAATTCCTATGCAGAAAACAAACAAATTTTCTCATGTTTGTTTCTTGAATATTCTATAAGAACTATAAGAATGTTCATGTTTTCTATATGGTAGCTTTTCTTAAGCTTTCAGTTTCTATAGGTTTTAAGTAAAATGTGAAGAACCGCTTTAAATTTTAATATTCCTTGACCTTTTTTTTAAAAAAGCTTGCAGAAATGTAACGGACTTTCTTTCGCGGCAAAAGGAATTCCTTTTTGAAATTATGTTGGAACGAGTCATTTTTAATGACTCGACAAATTCAAGCACTTCAAAGGATATGAAAAATGATGAATTTACTTACAAAATTTCTTGAATTTTGCCTTCAAATTACTGCCAACCGTATCTTGCCAAAGTTTGTTAGGAGGGATTTGAAAAATTCTTCAATGGTTAGTTATCAATGAGGGTTAAACGGGTACTGATTTTCGATCTTGATATATTCGTTCTATTGAATTGTTTTACAATTAAACTTTCTTTCGGTTTTTTTTTTTTATTTTATTTACTTTGAACTTACGTTTGGAGATAGACCTTAACTGCTTGAAGCCAAAAAAAATAATGACAAAAAGTGTCAGGGAAGTTTGCCCTTTTATAGAAAATTTTGGCTTTACAGACCTGCTAACGGGACTAGAGGTGTGAGTCCTTTTCTAGTGCAGGCAATGTTATGTAAATTATGTTGGAATATCGTATTAAAAAACATAATTAAACTTTTTTATTTGTTTTTAAAGTAAATAGCTTGATATTTATTAAACTGAATCAAAGATATTTGGAACCTGGAATAAGAGACGAATCCAAACCGTAGAGGACTGGTATATACAATACAAAATATATTTATTTTACTTATAAAAGTCATAATTATATAAAAATAATTACATAATTATAAATAATTATACATATAATAAGTTTATTTATGAATCTTGTTTATGAAAAAAACAAATAAAGTTCAAAACCACAACGAAAATAATCGAATAATGTGTTTTTATTGGGAGAAACTTTAACCAAAGTGATTGGAAAACAAGGAAAATGTATTTCCATATATTTTTTAAATAAATATAAAGTCAGACAATATAGTTGGCGCCATTTTTTGAAAAGTTTCTTCAAAAATAGCAACCCTGCGCTTTAACAGTGCTCTGTTAACAGAGCCATAACAGAGCTAACAGCTGTCAGCTGGCGAAGCCTTTTTGACATTTTTCTACAGGCCGTCTTTTCCTAATTTTAATTGCCAATTGAAAATATAATACTGCAAGCCGGTAAAAAAAGCATTACCGATGAGCCAACAACGGCCTCGTCCCCTCTGCCAGCGGCTGGGAAGTCTGCTGATGGCGTTGCAAATGTTCCTGCTGGCCGTTTTGCCGGCAATAGCCACCACCCCCGGCACTACGGGGGCTCCACCCACCACCGGCGGCAGCCCCAACTTCTCGGGCCCGCTGGGCCGGAGCGATGAGCGTTTCCACGAGGAGTTGGTGGTGCGTCCGTTGGCCGGAGACCATGTCAACACCTACTTTCAGTTCACAACGCGCTGGCATTTCGGACAGAAGGACAACCGTAAGTTTGTGGCAGTGAATCCTCACAGAAAAGGGTTAATTATAGCTTCTTTGAATCAGTGTATCACACCCAACTAACACCGAGGGTGATTGCGGAGATGTTGCAGCAATTTGATGTCAAGGAATTGCACATCGGCCTCACCCAGGGCCTGTGGCGCTACGAAACCTGGGGCTATCCCATCGTGGAGGCTACCAGCGGTGCCGAAATGTGGGCCTGGTTCAGTGGCGATAATCTAACCAACACCGAGGTGGATCGACAGTGGGGCCAGCTGGCGAATGTGTTCTCCGGCGTCCTGTGCGCCTCCCTGAATTTTGTGGACAAAACGAACAGCATAGCACCACGGCACTTGCTGCGTCCCCAGTTTATGCCAGCCAATCGGCAGAGATCGGTGCGGTATGCTTCACTGCCACGGGAAATCGTTTGCACCGAGAATCTGACGCCCTGGAAGAAGCTTCTGCCCTGCGGCAGTGCCTCGGGCTTTGCCTCGCTGCTGAATTCCGGACACGTGCACAACACCAAGTACCATTCGCTGGGCTTGAAGGTGCGGATGTTGTGCGAGGATCAGTCCGAGGACAATTGCATTGTGGAACTGACCCAGACGGCGAATCTGGTCTACGACCTGCGTCTGTTCGAGCTGAGCAACAATGACTTCTCGCTGCGGCGACTCTTCGGCATGGGACTGAATGGCTTCTGTGAGCTGGCCGAGAGCTCCAAGATCTATGTCCAGAAAAATGAGCAGGGACAGAGGTATAGCCTGGTGCCGCAACCCACACAGGAGGTGAAATCCATTCGAGGCGGCCATCAGGTGGTCTATGGTGTCTACGACATGCACGAGCAGTTCAAGGACCCTGGAGAGAGACTCTTCAACATCGCCTGGCTAACGGCGAAGAACGAAAACCGTCGCCGGAACCTGATGAACCCCAACTTGCCGCCGGTTACGGTCCACAGATACCTCCTCGGTAATGGTCAAGAACGAGGCCGGATAGCCACCGAGGTGACCAACAATCATTACGAGGCTCTGCCCATTTTGGTGCAGGAACTAGTGCCGTGGTATGTGCACGCCTATCTGCACACCCTGAAAATCCGGCGTAAGCCTCAGCGGGTCAACGAGTACACTCGCCGGTGGCTGCCCTTCAAGCTGCTCCACTACACGCCGGGCAAGCAGAGGGAGCTGCCCTCTCACCTGGAGATTGGCTTCACCCTGCCCGGCCAAACCTCTGCTCTGATAACCATTGATGTGGACTACCTGCTGCTCAAGTGGCTGGAGTATCCGCCGGATGCCAATCACGGACACTACATTGGAGCCGCCATGGTCTCCACCCAGCTGCCGATGGGCAGAAACTACACTGCCCTGCCGCCGGAGGGGCATCTCTTCGAGCACTCCTTCAACGCCACCAGACCGAATTATGTGTTGAGCTTGCACACGGAGGCGTTGATAGTTTCCCTGCCCACGCCGGACTTTAGTATGCCGTACAATGTGATCTGCCTGGCCTGCACTGTGGTGGCTTTGGCCTTTGGTCCCATCCACAGTGTGGCCACCAAGGTGATAGTAGTGGGTCGTCAGGCCTCCGCACCAAAGAACTTTGTTCGCAAGATTCTGGGAAAGATTTTCCGCCGGAATACTGTTCAGGTGGCATCAGTTGCTGCCCAGGGAGAAGCATTACATGAAGGGGAAGGTGGAGGGCGGACAGAAAGGACATCGGCAGATCAACCCATTCTCGAGGATCTCCACGAGGAGGAGGAGCAGGAACAGGACTAACTTACTCTCTAAGTCAAGAGTCGTGATAAGCTCAAAAAATATGTTAATGTAAAGCTTAAAAATATATACCCCATAAATTAAAAATTCAGGTAAAAAATATAGTTATTAATTAAAAAATAAAAAATTAACAAAATAATATATTTTTTGAAACCATATCATAAAAAATGAAAGTTAGTATGCAGGTTTATTATTTTAAAATTTAAATCTTGAAATTGTCCAATAAAATAAAAGCAAGAACTGTAAAAATTAAATTCCAAAAAATTGTACAATTTTTAAGAAATATTTAAACTATTAATTTAAGAGGAAAAAAAAACATTAAAGGGATGTAATCCAAAAATAGAAATAAAAACAAATTGTAAATTATATTCCAAAAATTGTAATTAAAAAAAACGTAAAATTTATAAATGCAAATATTTTTTGGTTTTAAAAAAATAAATTGTTAATTTTAAAAACCTAAGATATAAATTAAGGTTTCTATACTTTTGAAAAATATTAATTTTTTTTATTATTATAACTATTTCCATTTAAACTAAGTCTCCAATAAATTTTAAAAAACCATTTTTACTTTGAAAACTTTTTTTGCGCTTTTTTTTATTGACTTTTTTTTAAGGTTTAGCATTTAAAAAATAGATTTAATTTCTAAATGCTATTTCATGTACATACATCTAAATGATTTCTCGATGTGTGTGTGTGTTTGTATCCTTTTTCCTTGAAATGGACATCAGGATCTCTATAGATTATATCAGATCGGATTAGAGCAGAGCAGATATACATACATAATAGCCAGTCTGGCCTGCTTAAGAGCGAGACAGATTGTGTGGTTACATATCCATAAACTAATGGAACATTCGGATATATATATTTAAATATCTTCATTTCTTTAAATCTCCGAAAATGCAAAATTATCTTCTCTTATATATTTATAATTGTAATATTTTAACTAACTTTAAATAATTTCTTTATCGAATAAATAATTTAGATTTCGATTTTTGGAACTTGAATGTTGCAAGCAAAATAACAGTATTTTTTATCAAAAAGTTCCATCTTTTTTTTTTAATATTTCTTAAGAATTTCGTAACCCCATTATTTTTTTTTTATTTAAATTTTATTGATGATTTCTGCTTGCTAATTATAATTAATAGTTTTACTTTAAATAGTAAATTAAAATTTAAATATAATAAGCTTAATTCTAATGGATTTTACAATGTATTTTTAAATTTCCCAAGAACACATGCATTTAAAAAAAAATTTAAGAAAACGGAACAAGGGACTCTAATAGTAGTTACTATAAAAAAAAAAAATATAAAACATTTAAAACGGGGCATCTACAAAAAAAAAATGATTAAAAAAAATATATATATTAAATAATTAAAGATAATTAATAATCTATTCAAAACATGTACTATTCATCATTATCGTCCTATTACTTAAATCTAAGAATATTTATATTTTTAATATTTTTTCAGGATTTTTTGTTGTTTTTGTTTTTATATTTTAACTTAGAAGAAAGAGAGTTGAGGAGCTATTCGTAGAGAATTTAAATGTAATAGGATGGGTCGATTGGCATGTCATATATATATAGAAATCCTAGTTAGTATTTACAATTTTAAGTAATTTTAATTATTAAGAGTTGTGCTTAAAATTTGCTTAAAATTGTTTACTGTCTTAAATATCATATAGAATTTTACAATTGATTCGAATCAAGTTAATATTTGTATTTGTTTTTAGTTTATAGATTCGCTTTAAGCCCATTAGAATACAACGCAACGAACCCTGAACATAATCGTATATATAGGATCTCGGATCGACCCATCTTAATAGATCTATATAATAATATATATATATCTATTTATTTATATGCCTAGGACACGTTTTTCTTTTCTTCTCCCGATTTCTTGTTCTCTTTGCTGTTTTTTTTTAACTTAATTCTTTTAAAATATATCTTTATATCTTTATGTTTTTAGCTGCTTTTTATATTAATTTAAGTTTTTTAATTAAACAAGAATCTATCCCTTTTTAAATAAATTTCAACAAATTCTCCAAAAGCTTGCCAGAAAATTTGTAGAAATTTATTTTTTGTTTTTTAACTGAAAAATATTTTAAATTTAATATAAATACAGCTTTCCCTCCAGCATTCCATCCCTTTTCCTTAATTTTTTTTAGTTTCTATGGATTTTTCTTCTTGTTCCTCCTCCTAGTGTCTCGATTCTTCTCGCTAATCTTTGCTAGTCCCGCCTCCACATCCAAGTAATCCCCTCCAGACTTTTGTGCGCTATTCACTACGGATTATTCTGCGGGTAGAGCTGCTCCCGACCTCATTGCGGCGGCTGCTGGCTGTAGTAGCCGTAGGCTCCCGTGGGCGGAGGACCCTGCGGTGCTCCCGGTGGCGGCATCTGGGCTCCGGCCGGCCTGTAGCTCTGGTAGCCCTGCGTGGGCGGGTACTGGGCATAGCCGGCGGCCTGCGGTGGCTGGTGGTAGGCATGGCCCGGATAGGCGCTGCCCGGCGGCGGCGGGCCGTACGCTTGGGGTGGCGGAGGGCCACCGTACGGACCCTGCGGTGCTCCCGGCACTGCCGGCTGGTACTGATTAGGCGGCATTGGCGGCGTCGCTCCGTTCGGTGGCGGCGGCTGTCCCTGCCCTTGGCCTTGTCCCTGCGGATTGGGTGCTCCACCGCCGGCCGCTCCTCCCGCTCCGCCCGTGGGCGGTGCCTGTTGTTGCTGCTGCTGTTGGTTGGGCGGTGGGCCGCCGGGTCCCTGCTGGTTGTAGCTGCCGGGCGTCGAGTATGTGGGCTGGACTTGCGTCGGAAGTGGCGCCACACCGGAGACCACCACTCCACCGCCGGGCGGCTGCTGTTGTTGTTGCTGCTGTGGCGGTGGTCCTGCGTATTGTTGCGGAGCTGCTCCTCCTCCGCCGCCCGCACCACCGGCACCACCCTGCGGTGGCGGCGTCGATTGCTGGGCATTCGGTCCGTTGGGATTCCCACTGCCACCAGCTCCCCCGCCTCCTCCAGCTCCACCGCCGGCTCCGCCAGCCTGTGGCGGCGGCGTCTGGCTCGGCGCCGTAGTGCTGCTGCTGTAAGCGCCACCCGGTGGGGGTGGCGGACCCGCCACACTGGTCGGTGGTCCTCCCGGGTAACTGCTACCCGGCGGAGCACCAGTCGCTCCACCGGCGGCCGTCTGGTAGGCCTGGTAGGGACTCTGCGCGCTGCTCGTCGGCACCGGAGGCGGTGGTCCGTAACTGCCGGGCGGTGGGCCTCCGCCAGCTCCTGCCTGGCCGTACTGTCCCACCGGGTTGGGTGGATAGCCGGCATAGCTCATCGGTGGTGGCGGACCACCGGCCGTGTTCTGAGGTGGCGGTGGACCGTACTGACTTTGTGGTGGCGGACCCGGTGGTCCCGGCTGCTGACCGCCAGTGGGCGGCGGTCCATACATTTGGCCCGGTGGTGGTGGACCCGGCGGCGGTTGCTGTTGTCCCGGCACCGGTGGCCCCTGTTGGCTTCCGGGCGGCGGCGGATAAGCGCCCGGCGGTGCTGCTCCGGTATTCGGCTGATAGCCGTGTCCCGTCTGCCCGGCCGCCGTATGATAGCCACCCTGGCCGGCATTTGGCGGCACTGGAGGCGGCGGTCCATAACCCTGGGTGGGTGGACCGTACGGATAAGCTCCTTGCGGCTGATACTGGGTCTGGGGTTGCGGCGGATAACCCGGATAGTGGCCGTGTTGTTGTTGCTGTTGCTGATAGCTCACCCGGTATGGACTCTGCGGTGGCGGTACTCCTGGACCACCAGCTCCTGGTTGTGGTCCTCCCGGTCCGCCCTGTTGTTGTTGTTGCTGCTGTCCCGGAGGCTGCTGGCCGCCGGGCTGGGGAGTGCCTTGTTGCTGCTGCTGTTGTTGCTGCTGTTGGGGATTCTGGGGGCCAGGAAGGGGTCCGTTGTTGGGACGCTGTTGATCTGTGGGAAGGAGGATTCCATTCAGATTAGAAGGTAGAAGCCATATTCTCTCAAAAAAATCAAAAATCTTGAAATATTTAACAAATCCAACAGCTGGGATACATTACACTTACTGGGCGCTGCATTCGGATTGACGACCGACTGGCCAGGACCTTGTCCGGGTCCTTGTCCCGGTCCCTGGGCCTGGGCATTTCGGTAGACGGGATGCTGTTGCTGCTGCTGTTGTTGTTGCTGGGACTGAGGACCCGCCTGGCTGACTTGGGGACCTCCTTGTTGCTGGCCGGCTGCTGCTGCGGCTGCCGCTGCTGCTGCCGCCGCTGCTGCCTGTTGTTGTTGCTGTTGTTGTTGTGCCTGTTGCTGCTGTTGTTGTTGCTGCTGCTGCTGAGATTGCTGTTGAGCGCCCGGCGGCAGGCCGGGATGTGGCTGTGGCTGTTGCTGCTGCTGCTGGCCGTAGGGAGGCATCTGAACGGGCGGTCCTTGCGGATCACCCGGCCCATGCTGCATCCCCATCTGTGGTGGCACACCGGCAACCTGCTGTCCTGGCACCGGCACCCCTCCTGGACCCTGGCCAGGACCCTGTTGCTGTTGCGGCGGCGGTGGACCACCGAGCATGCCATGCGGACCCGTTGGCGGCGTCTGCTGGCCACCCTGTTGCATGGCCTGAGTCTGGAGTATGTGTGGAGGCTGAAAAGAGCAAAATCTTAATCTCTGGAAGACCTTGAAATCAAAGAGAAACACTCACCGGCAGTATCTGGGATATATTCATGGCGGGATCGGCCAATTGTGCCAAATATACCAGATTCCTGTGCAACGCCACGTGATAGGACATGCACTCCTGCGCCTTGCCCATGCTCTGGAAGTCCTGGATGGTCTGTATCAATCCGCAGTTCTCGTCCAGCATCTTCTGGATCTGGGCCGAGTTCACCGGTGGCGGTACACCGCCGCCCACATTGCCGCCGCGTGGTGTAGTCGGCGGAGTGACCATCATTCCGCCACCAACTCCGCCGGATATGACGCCGCCTGGCGATCCGGGTACTCCCATGGGCGGTCGTTGTTGTTGCTGCTGTTGCTGCTGCTGGAGGCCCATTGGAAGAAGGCCACCTCCGCCGCCAGGTCCACCACCTAAAATCGGAAAATTATACATTTTTAAAAGGGGATTTTTTTATTTTTGAAAATTAATTTATTTTTAAAATTTATCGCCAGGCCTAATAGGTTCGAAATAGGAAAATAAATCGATTATTTCGATAACAAAAATTAAAAGAAATTAAAAAACCTAATTATTAAATTTGTTAATAAATAAATTTAAAGCTTATTGAAGCTAATAAGTTAAATATATAAATTTATCGATATATCGAAAAAATAAAGTATATAATCGTAATCGATATATCGATATTTGTTTAAAATCCTTATTAACTTTGTAGCTTTCTCATTTTTTTATTTTTTTAATTAAAAAAAACAGTTTAAGCTACCATCGCTAGTTGTTATCGATTATTTTGATAACAAAGTAATCGATATTTTGCAGCTCTAATTTTGATTTTTGTTGTATTGCTTACCTCCGCCTCCACCTATGCCGCCTCCTCCACCAGGGCCCACCCCTGAGCCGGGTGGCTGCTGATTGGGAATCGAGTTGGGTGGCGGCTGCTGCTGCAGTTGCTGTTGCTGTTGTTGTTGTTGCTGCTGCTGCTGCTGTGGCGGGGGAGGCTGCTGCTGCTGCTGCAGCTGCTGTGGCTGCTGCTGCGGCGGTTGCGGCGAATAAACTGCAGACATTTTACTGGCTGCAGCCTTCTTCTTCCGCTTGGGAGTTTTCTCCTGTTTTTCCACAATTTTAGCGGTTATTATAGACCGGTGGGGAAATAAAAGTCGTCAAGTCCAGTCGAACTGTTCGAGTTTTTCTTTTTGTTTTTGCTATTTTTTGCAGTGTGCGGCTTTTTTTCTTCTCACATACACACTTACACCCACACGCGCACGGCAACGCACACACACACACGGACGACACACAACAGAGTTTTTTTTTTGTGGTTTGAAGGAAAAGTTTGCGTTGCTCGGTATATCCAGTCGCCGGCTTAAAAGGATGTATTGGATTTCTTGCTATGCGATTAAATGTACTGTCAAATATGTTCGTTTATGGGATTTGGCATATTTTCCGTTCTTTTTCCTACACTTTTTGCAAAAAAGCGACGCTTAAAATACACGGGCGGCTCGGGGCGATTAATCGGATGCACGACACGAGTACACGATCGAACTAGTATGATGGCGCGTGATGCTCAGCTCTGTTAGTTAACATATCGTTAACAGTGCATGATTTAAAGATGCTGTGGAGTGGTGGTGGTAAAAATTTGATATTTTTTTAATCAATATACATGATTTTGAATATAATAATTATCTTTAAATTTAAAAATTGTATAATAGAAGTTTGGTAACAAAATAAATGTAATTTTTTTTAAATATTTAAGACCGAAATAAAACTAATTTGTGCAATAACAAAACTGCCACTTATTTAAAAATAAATAGGTATATTTTCTACCCATTTAACACTTAATTTATAGTAGATAACTTTAAATAATTGAATGCATTTTGTCTGATGGCATGATAGACTGTTGGTACGTTCCACTTGCCCTCGAAATTGTCATATTCGCATACGCATGTGCTGCCAACGATGCACAAACGGTGAATTGTCCATCTCACTTCTCCAAAAGGCGGCAATTAATAATTAACAAACCGTACGTTTTGGTAACAATTTGCAATTGAATTTAGTGATAATTACTAAATGTTTATGTGATGATGATGACGAAAAAGGCCGCCAAGCGATAACATTTAACTGCTGCCGGCAATCGTGCGTCTATCGATAGCAATAATGCTATCCGCCTGGCATCCATCAAAAGAAAAATTTGTATTTTGTTGCCTGGCTGTTGGCCAATTCCTCCGCGGTGCGATTGTGTGTGTGTGTGTGCGAGCGTGTGCCGTGTATGTGTGTGCGGGAATTTATTAAACAACAAAAATAAAAATAAAACACAAAAAAAAAAAAGTCAAAATCGGCACACGAACATACTACAAAATTTTATGTAATAATTTATAATTTATGTAAAACAGAAACGCGAACGAAACGCCAGTTATTTAACCAAAAATATATAAAAAAAAAAAAAAAAAACCACACATACAACCAACGCCAGTGGGTTAAAACCAAAGTGCAATAGCTCAATCTTAAATAATTACACCCATACCTATATACATATATTATTTTATTATTGCTCAACAATAACAGTTAGTTGTTGTTGTTTTTTGAGATATTTTTTTGTTGTTTTTTTTTTTTGGTATTATCGTGCGTTAAATAAAATACAATTATAAAAAAAAAAAAATACACGCCGTGAAGAAGAAGCAGACGCCACCTATAATCCTAAAGTAAATGCAACAACAACAACAGTAATAGTAACTAGAAAAATATAAGAATAATAATAAAGACCCAAGTAGGCGAGAATAAAAATAAAAAACAATAAAACAATCAAAAAAAAAAAAAGAGAGGGAGAAAAAAGCGCGAAAATCTATATAAGAACACTTTCCCAGAAACTCTTTTTCGCGTTATCGATTTTTTGCCAGTGTGTGTGTGTGTGAGTGTGCAATCAAACAACAACAACAACGGCATACTGTGTGTTATCAACTGCAAAATAAAACACAAAAAAAAAAAATCAAATCTCAATAAAAAAAAGAAAAGTAGGGGAAAGAAACCCTTAGCCGGTTGCCTTGCCACCCACCACCATCTCCCTCGTCAGCACACCAGCGGATGCAAAAAAAAATTACAATTTCCCATCACTATCATCGCGGATCGTTTAAGGATAATCCAAATTCAATTAATCACAAACACCGGTGTTCTAGATTATATGATGATTTCGTTGCTGCAAATGAAATTCCATGCGCTTTTGTTGTTGCTATCAAAAGTCTGGACATGCATCTGTTTCATGTTCAATCGCCAAGTGCGAGCTGTAAGTATAATTATTAAAATAAAAATTAGTACAAAAAAAATTAGTAATTGTTCGAAAATATAAAAATGTGGCCCCCCCTTTAACCCGATCTTCTGGTATCAACAAACACGAGCACTACTAAAATCATAAAAGTCCACTGATTGATAAGGCCTTCCAATAATACAGTAAATACTCGCCTAAGCTGGGCACTATCGGATAGATTTTACACAGCACACTGAGAGAAACCATGAGATATTCTGGTAGTTTTGGTTTGAAGTTAGAAATTTATGATTATTTTAGAAAAATTTTGGATTAAAAGGTCTTTGATTCGAAAGAATAGACGTTTAAATTTAAAAAAAACTTTAATATTTATTATTAAGGGACTTTTTTTTTTATAATATTCGATATTCAACCATAATTTTGAACTAAAAAATCAAGTTTTTTCCTGGTTTTCCTGATTTTTTTATTAAAATAAAAGCCTTTAAAATCCTAAAAAGACAGCTTAGAGTTCAATTTTGGTAAAAAAAAACTTTTATTTCAATATTTTATTCATATTTTTCAAGTATAAATTATTTACTTAATTCAATTCTTCAATTATTAACAATTATTCAATATTCTTTAATTTGTAATCTTTTTTTCTAATATTTTGATATGTTTTCTTAAGTAAAAGTTAAATTCCGGTCATGAAAGTAGTGTAATTTCAATATATTATCCTGTTTTTTTGGAATATTATAATTTTTAATATAAAATAAAGAATATTTTCTTTAAAATGTATACATTTTTCTATTCCTTTGATAAGTTTTCTTAAGAAAATGGTTTTAGATAACCTAGAAAGGCAGGTCAGAGTTCAAATCCGCTTGGGAAAGTAATGTTTTTCTTAAAATATTGTATGATATTTTGTTAGGTTTCTGCAATTTGTAAGAAAGTTTTAAAATAAAAAGGGAACTTTTTTACTCTTGAAACTACACAAGTTCTATAGTATTACTTATTTTCTTAAAAAACCTCCGCTCGAAAAAAAACATCACCATACCTTAGTATTTTAGCTTAGTTTTTCTCGGTGTCCATAGTTTCCATTAGTAAATGACAAGCAGCCATATATTAAATTTTTTATCAATCGTCGCGGTACAAGTATAATGGAGCCTGTTATTTTCAACCTATTTGTTGCTGTTTTTGTCAATTTTATTTTATCAAAAATTCTCGATTGGGTGAGTATGTTCATCTTATCGCTAGTCGCCGTTGTTTGTCTTTGATGTTCTCCACTGTATCGGCGATTTTTTTTTTTTTTTGGCTCGAAATCGTGACACGGCAAATATGTACAATATTCCAAACTGACCTTCGACCTGAAGCACCAGATTTGCCCAATCTTAGGATTTTTCCCAAGATTGTTTTTTTTTTAAATAATGACTTATATTTGTTGTATTTCGCTCCAGTTTTTAGGTAACTTAGGTTTAGATTTAGTAATCCCAACCACCAGACATACACGTAGACACATTCGAATGCATTCCAAGTACTGTTCCGTTGATTCTATGTATTAACTTCCTTAGTTTATCCAGTATCAACCGGTTAAATATGAACTCTTTCCGCTGTCACCGGTCTCCCGCCACCGACTGAGTCTGGTGCAGCGAAAGACCCTCGTTCTGGACCTGGACGAGACCCTCATCCACTCGCATCACAATGCCATGCCCAGGAATACCGTGAAGCCCGGCACGCCGCACGATTTCACCGTCAAAGTCACCATCGATCGGAATCCAGTTCGATTTTTTGTTCACAAACGACCGCATGTCGATTATTTTCTGGATGTGGTATGTTTTTAATGTATATTTTTGAACTATTAATTATTTATTAATAATAATTATTTATTTTTTAGGTCTCTCAGTGGTACGATCTGGTGGTATTCACAGCCAGCATGGAGATCTATGGAGCGGCAGTGGCGGATAAACTGGACAACGGTCGGAATATACTCCGGCGGCGCTACTACAGACAACACTGCACTCCAGACTATGGTTCCTATACCAAGGATCTGTCGGCTATTTGCAGTGATTTAAATAGGGTAATGCTCCTAGAAGTCCTAGAAGTTGCTTAGAGTTATTTATGGGGTGTTTTAGATAGAGCTTTATCATAGATACAGTAAAAGATACAGCTCGTTGGTAAGAGTTAAGAGTTAGAGTAAGAATTATCAAACAATTTCCCTAAAAAGACTTTTTAGTTTAGTTTTTGAAATATTTATCAATTTATTACGTCTTATAGAGAGGCGTAATTACAAAACAAACCCTTTCCGGTCTTCAAAAGAATATATAAATGTGTTCTATTCAGGTCCCTATGTTTCTTCGGGTTTGAGAATGAGATTTGACTATGAGAGAAATCAAATTCTTACAATTTTTTTTTTTTTGAAAATAAAGGGATTAAAGTATTTTAGTTTTCTTTAATTTAAGACTACGTTTTGAAATAATCTTAGCTAGTAATGAATGGTTATCTAGTGTAGTCTAGATATTTATATTCTCTTTATAAGACCCTACAAAAGATGTATTTCAAAAGGTTTGTTTTTCTAAACAATCCTTTAAGCCAAATGAGGAAAAGTACCGTCTATCATACAGTTCAGTATTAGGTTCTTAATCTATTATCTACTATTATAATTTCCAATTATTTCTATTTGTCATACATGTTTTGACTATGTGTCTTTTATTACTTAAATTCAAGTAAACATTTTTTAAGGTATATTTTTAGATTTGGAAGTATTCAAAAAATATAAGAAACCTCAAAAGGCTATCCAGAAAAATTACCGACTATCTAAAGTCCAGTGTTAAGCATTAAGGAAAATATTTGTTGTTCTTTGACCTATGTTACTTCTTCTTGTTACGTATTCAAACTAAAAATTTCTCAGGAGTAACTTTTAGTAGTAGAAATATGAAAAATTTTTAGAAAAAACCTTAAAAGTATCTACTATCGTACAGTCCAATGTTAAGCATGAAAGAAACTAATTATGTTCTTCTAAGACATATTTGATTTTTTTTCGACTAAAGATGACTTATTTTAGTTGTATTCAAATGAAAATTTTTTAAGAGATATTTTTAGAATTATAAATATTAAAAATTATTTGAATAAAAGGCCATTAAAGGCCCCGAAGGAAAAGTGTGGACTCTAATACATTGCAGTATGATGCTCTAAGTATTTAATATTTTAGATTTAAGGTGATATTTTCGATATGTCCTTCCTTTATTTGCTTTCAAAAACAATAATTTGTAAAGATAGATTTTTAGTCTTATGAATATTAGTAGTTATTACCTTTTAACTTAAAAAGGTATCAAGGAAAAGCAGAAACTATTACATAGTCCTAAAAGTATAAGTTGTTAAGGAAACGATTCTAAATTTTTATTGGTTTATTTTAAAAATATATATTAAAGAAAAAGGTTTTTTCTTGCTAAATACATAGTTAAATAGGAAAAGTACCCACTATCATATAGTCTACAAAATATCAAGAATTATAGCAACTATATCAGTTTTTTTTTTTTTACACTATCTGGTACTATTTTGATTTATAAACCCATCTTTAATGTATCTTTTTTTGTTATCTTTCAGATATTCATCATTGACAATTCGCCCGGCGCCTATCGCTGTTTTCCCAACAACGCCATACCCATCAAGAGTTGGTTCTCGGATCCCATGGACACGGCGCTATTATCGCTGCTGCCCATGTTGGACGCGTTGCGGTTTACGAACGATGTGAGATCAGTGTTGTCCCGTAACTTGCATCTGCATCGTCTCTGGTAGCAGGTGGGACGCCTAACGCTAGTATAGTCTAACGTATTTCTGCAGTGAGGAGGAGGGTAAATTTTTTGAAATTAGCAACAACAACAACAACAAGAAGAAGAAGAAAATGGTGGTGCTGTGACACATTAACGAATTTTTTTCAATATTATTAATACTTATTACCATTCAAGACGACAAGCAAATTTGGATAGTGAAAAACAACAAATAAAGTCCCCCCCCCACAGAGTTAATTAATGGGGGTGGGGAAGGGGGTGTAGAACTATGACAGACAGTGATCGATCAAGTAAAGAAAAAAGATAATCAAGGTAAACCCCATTGTTGGATCTGGAAATCTATAGTTGTAATAATTTGTAATTTTATTTTTTTTTGTTTGAAAAAAATGCCTCTATTAAGATTAAACACTTTTATAATAATCTACCTGCATTCGAGTGCATCAGAATTATGATTACTATTTTTAGTTGTGTTGTTTTTTTTTGTATATATATATACATAAATACACACATATATATATATATATATATATGCAGTTTATATATAAATATATATATATATTTGTAAAATCCAAAACTATTGAACACAGTATCTTAACTAAATAAAACTGAAAATTAAGAACAAATTCAAGTCAAGTTATATACACTATATATATATATATATCATAATATAAATTCTAAATCTAAGTCGTGCAACAGAAGTCTGTTGTAGTATCTACATATATTATTATGATTACAATTTATAATTACGATAATGAAAAAGTGAAATTGTTTACACTTAAACTGTATATGGCGATTGAGATATAAATACTTTTAGTTATACAAATTAGTTGATTACGAAACTTTCCTGGACATCATTATTATGGATAATTACTATATGTAACCGATTCTGTAGAGACTTTATACTATTCTGTTTCTCTTGTAAAAAGATGACAAAACCCAAAAAACGACAAACCGAACGATGAGATCTTTCAAGAGTTTCATTTTGCTTGAAAAAAAAAAACAAAAAATATATAACAATTTTTCTATGGATAAGATTTTTGTCTTTGAAGGCATTATATAAATATGTATATTTATATATATCTACATCTATAAAGTACTATTTAAAAACAAAAAAAAAACTAAAAAAAAAACCAACAAAATAAACCTTAATGATCAGAAAGATAGTTAGTGGAGAGGTAGAAGGAGAAAAAAAATGAAAAAATCACGACGGCCGAGCCGTATATAGTCTCTTATAATCCGATCGGATCAGATCAGATTCAAGACAGAGCCCCCAGACTGGAAAGTTAGAGAAGAGGATATATTGAGATAAAAAATAGAGAGCCAAATCACTAATTATATACTTGTACCGAGTTAGTCTGAGAAGAAACTAAAATGAGAAATCGTGGCACATCATCTGAGAATGAGAGACATCACACACAACACAGTAGGAAAATGAGGATTATAGTTGAACGGAAAACAAATGAAAACTGCTTCCATAGTTAATGTTATTTCCAAAAATATAAAAAAAAACATATTTAATACAACAAAATAAAATACAAAACAACATCCTCAAAAGCTTGTCTGAACACATTGTATACCCACACTCCCCTATCCAATTGTTCTTTTTACTGAATTGTACATTTTAAATACAATCACTATTTGTTTATTATTGCAAGAAATACAAACAACAACAAAAGAATTATGAAAAAAATACGTGTTTGCGCGATGTTGTTAATTTTAAGTAGTTTGTAGCAAATTTGTTAAACTGAGACGTAAATGAAATAAATGAGAAAGGGAACACAAAAAGCAGAGACAACAAAAAAAAATTCAAAAAATACAACAAAATCAATCAAAAATAAAAGACTTGTGTTTTATTTTTTTAAATTTAGCGCCAAGTGTTACATATGACTTACATTTTCAGGAGTTAACAGTGTCTGTTAAGTTAAAGCACATTTTTGGTGCTGTTATGCGAACGGCACTTCAATGAAAGGTTTGTAGTTGTAGTCATGTCACGAACTTTTTATACCCTATAGAAAATATCATCTAAGGATAATTTTAAAATTAAGAAATAAAATTAATAAATAGATTCTTAAAATAAAATTTTTGTATTGTTTACTTGGAAAGTCAACTCCTTAAATTATATAAATCCTAACATAATCTTAACTTTATATAACCTGACTGTTATTACCATGACTACCCCTCTATATAATGGGTATTAACAGCAGCTGTTAACTTGACAATTTTTAGGTTATGTTGTCACTCAGTCGATCCAACAACAAGTTACCGTAAAAGAAAATCGCCGGAGTATTTACGCAACGCAACTGGTGAGGAGCGTCGTCAAGATCAACCAGAATCTATATAATATATATCAAATATATCAAATCCGGACCGATTAGGAAAACAAGACCCATGGCCGCCACCGCCGGAGCTGTAGCTAAAGTCGGAAAATCAGTGCACCGCATTTTCGTGGGCAATCTGCCGTGGACGGTGGGCCATCAGGAGCTCCGTGGCTACTTCAAGGAGTTCGGACGCGTCATCTCCGCCAACGTGATCTTCGACAAGCGTACCGGCTGCTCCAAGGGCTACGGATTCGTTAGCTTCAATAGCCTGACGGCGCTGGAGAAGATCGAGAACGAGCAACGACACATTCTGGAGGGCAACTACCTCAACATACAGAAATCCTAAATAGAAAGCAGCAAAAACCCAATAGGCCCAGTGGCATTTCATCAAATTAGTTTTAAGTTTCTCTAGGTTTTTGTATATCACACATTATCACATTTTTTTTTTATTGTAATGTCCGACAGCGATTCGGATCCGGAGGAGGAGCTGTTCTATCGCGCCACCCAGCACGTGGCTGGGAATACCTCCTCCCTGGCCGCCGCAGATCTGCTTGAGTTCTACGGCTATTACAAGCAGGCCATCGACGGACCCTGTACGGAGCCCAGTCCCAGTATACTTCATATGAAGGCGCGAAACAAGTGGCAGGCTTGGCACAATCTCGGCAAGATGACCGCCACAGAAGCACGACGGGCGTATGTCCAGAAGCTGCAGAAACTACAGCCCGATTGGCGCAAGAAGTCGTCCCGGAATACAGGATGGGTGGTGCATTCCATTGAGTCGGTACCTCTGGAAGATCAGCGTCCGGAGAGCGAGAAGACCCTCTTCGACTATGTCAAGGAGAACAACTTGGCGCGTCTGAGGGAGCTTTTGACGCCGCCAGACATCCAGGAACTGGACGAGTACGGCATGGCCCTTATCCACTGGGCCACTGACCGCAATGCCGTCGATATTATTGAGTTCCTGGTGAAGAGCGGCGCCAGTGTGAACCAGCGGGATGCAGAACAACAAACGCCATTACACTACGCCGCCAGCTGTGGCCACGTGGAGGCCCTGCGCTGCCTGCTGGATCTCCATGCCAACCCGACCCTGTGCGACTCCGAAGGACAAACCTGCGTGGACGTGGCCGACGACGAGCAGATCTGCACTGTGCTCCGCTTAGAAAAGGATCGCTTGCAGGCATCCGCGTCGTAACAGCATCCTAAAATTATAGATCGATAGATTCCACTTTCCCCTCTCAAAAACCACTGTATCATTATGTTTGTTTGAACAAATTTTACCACAAATTACAATGTGTATTACGGGTAAACATAGTTTTGGTTTTTATTTAAGCTACAGGTTTCTCATCCTTGGTAATCTCCGATCTCCCCATAAGAATCGGATATATATTGACGAAGTTGTAACCTTTGGTGTGGGCCGTATGGTTAGCCGCGATTTGCTCAGAAAAATTTACATAAAATGTATCCAACAAATCCTTGCTGCTTGATGCAGTATTATGGAGATCCACGAATCTTTGAAGGTATTTCATTTAAGGATCGGATGAATACTGGCGGAGATATGCACTTCTTAGTGGGCCATATAGGGGGACCATTGGATTACTTCGATTTTCAAAGAAGTCCCTCAGAAAAATTGACACAAAATGGATCGAAAAATTCTCTTCCAGGTTGTGATGCAGTATTGTGAAAAATAGTTCTATGAATCCTTTGAGGTATTCCGTTTAAGGATCGGATAAAGACTGGCGAAGATATAGACTCCTCAGTGGGCCATGTAGGGCTCTCCATGGTTACCCTTAGGGATCCGATATATATTGACAAGGACAATCACTTGCCACTCAATCGAGTCTACTGGATCTCTGACCTTCATAATCATTTAAAAGTAAGCATTTTAAATGAAAAGAAAAGAGATAGCAATTAATTTTTAAAATTAAAAGATTTGCTTTCCCCGGAAATAAAAAATGTAACAAAAATATGTATTACTAACTGATATATTTAATGAAAAAAGTATTAAGGGACACAAGGGATGTGGGAGAGTTGATGTGCTTAAGGGCTGTCGTCTACTTCCAGAGCTTCTTGATCGACATGTTCTTCTCCGAGTCCTTCTGCATCACCTTAGCCACGGCCATCTCAAAGTCCTCCTGGGTGACATGGACACGGCGCTCGCGCAGCGCATACATACCGGCTTCGGTGCAGACACCTTTGACCTCCGCACCCGAAGCACCGGGCATTAGTTCGGCGATCTTGCGGAGATTGATGCCACGGGTGAGGTTCATCTTGCGCGAATGAATCTTCAGGATGTCGAGACGGGCCTCCTCGTTTGGTGGGGGGAACTCGATCTTGCGATCAATGCGACCGGGACGGAGAAGGGCCGGATCCAGGATGTCAATACGATTGGTGGCCATGATCACTTTGATGTTCTTGGTGGCCTCGAAGCCGTCCAGCTGGTTCAACAGCTCCAACATAGTGCGCTGCACCTCAGAATCACCGCCAGAACCGGACTCAATACGCGATGAGCCAATGGAATCGATTTCGTCCATGAAGATAATTGAGGGGGCATGTTCACGGGCCATAACGAAAAGTTCACGCACCATGCGCGATCCCTCACCAATGAATTTCTGGACCAGCTCGGAGCCAGAGACGCGAATGAACGTGCACTCGGTGTGATGGGCAACGGCACGGGCCAGCAGGGTCTTTCCTGTACCAGGTGGTCCATAAAGCAGTACACCCTTCGGCTGGGCAATGCCGAGGGCATCGAACAATTCCGGATGTTTGACGGGCAACTCAATCACCTCCTTAATCTCCTTGATTTGTTTGTCCAGACCGCCTACCATTTCGTAAGTGGAGTCGGGCACTTTTTCGACCATCATCAAGGACACCAATGGATCCACTTTGTTGGGCAGAATCTTGTGCAGAGTGTAGCTCTCGTTGCGCAGTGCAACACGGCAATTGGGTGTCACATCGTTGATGTCGATGTTTTTGTCCAGATCCACCACAAACTTGCCCTCGGGATGGACCTTAACCAGCACCTTCTTCTTGTCCATTGGCTTCACTACCTCGCCCACATAGCTGCCCTGTTCCTGGAGCAACTGCAATTCCTCACGCAGCATACGAACTGCAGAATAATAGTTTATTAAACAAACACATCAAATTTCGAGTGTTTTTCTTTTGAAAAATACCTTTGGCATTCAGCTCATTACGCTGGGCTTGTAAACGCCTCAAGTTCTGGCTCTTCTCGGCCACAATGAGCTGCAGTTCCTCGATCTTCTGGATGTAATAGGAACGGAAGCCTTCGCCTTTTTGGTAGGCAGACTCGATTTCCATCTGCCGCAATAATAAACCATCATTACTTTTATATATTTCTTGTAATATTATAATAAAACCTACCCGATTAGTGACAGTCATCTTGGTTGGCGTCTACTTCGTTGCGTTTCAATATTTAATTTGTTCTTTCGACAATTAATTAATGCTGTTTCTTCGACTTATTAACAAATTTTACTTATGACTCGGCATTCTTGGTTTACGTTTGGGGATGTGAGTTGCTAGTTATCGGTTATCGCACTTTTTTGGTAACCGAAATATTTCGCAACACTAGCCATTCGCAACACTATCGAATTGATATCGATATTTCTATTTTTGAATATATTTAAAAATTAATATATTTATATGAAGAACAGTATAATATTGCTAGAAAAGTCTTAAAAAAAAGGATTTTAAAATATTCAACATATTATCCCTTATGTTCAAACTTTTGCTTAACATTTTAGTCCCCAAGTTGTTTAAATCCAAATATGCCTTGAAAATAAAGTTCATTATTCCTTGTTTTTGTAAACATAACGTATCAAATTGCACCGATTGAAACTTTCTTCAAAAAAAAAAATATTCAATAAAAAATACAATTTATAAACCTTGCACCTTGGTGTAAGAAGTTTTGTTGTGTGCACGGATACCCGGATAAATTAATAAAAATATTAGACCAGATTTTGAAAACAATGCCGGCCACTACGGGTCTTCTGTTCAAGCGCTACGTACGCATCGAATTGAACCTATGGCGTCGTACTCTCTTCGAAGCTGTGACCCTGATTATCATGGTATTAGTTATACTACTAAATCCCATTGCCCATTCCAAGCGTCTTCTTTACAATCGCCGAGAGGCCACCAACGAACAGAGTATCGTCTCCCACAAGCTGGAGGATATTAGTATTCTTACGTAAGTGTTGGGTGGCCGTTATAGGGAGTAAGTAATCAGAACTCTGATTATATAGATGGTAGAAAAGTGATTTTTTGGCAAAAGTTTAGAATTTGAGTTATTAATAGTTTGTTTATTTTAAATCGCTTATATGTTAAGCATAAAGAATGATCAGATCTCTGAGAATATTCAATATAGAGTTCCCAAATCTTCCTAAAGTATAAAAATAAAAAGATAACTTCTATTATAACTCTATTCACAGTCAATTGGCCGATTCGAAGCGCGAGAAAACCAAATATATCCTGGCCTATGCACCCAGTGTACCGTTCGCCAGAGATATTACCGAAAAGGTGGCGAAAACTTTGGAACTTAATGCCACCGTTGGCTTTAGCAGCTCCGATCAAATGGAGGATCAGTTCGATGAACGAACCACATTGGCCGGAATTGTCTATTATAATGTAGAGACCGAGGGTACACCCCTAAAGCTATCCTTGTCGATACGCTTTCCCAGTGAATTTCGTACCATTCTTCCGTTTCTCACCGAGAATCGTCTCTGGTTGACACGCTGCTCTGGTCGAATTAATGAGGGACGGGATCGAGTTAGCGATCAGGATAAGGAACAGGATATATATATACGCGAAGGATTTCTACAGCTACAACATCAGATATTCACAGAATGGTATCATCGGCTACGAAACGAAATCGATACCGATTATCCAGAACCGAATGTTGAAGTATATAATATATTGCAGAAGGCAGCCGATGAAACGTGCTCGTCAATGAATATGCACCGTTTGCCAACATTTCTTTATAACTTTTTATACCTATTACCATTTTTGAACATTATAAGAGTAAGTTTTAATTAATCTATATTTAAGTTTAAATATTAATCATATAATGTTTACTACAGAATGTGGCTGCCCAAGTGGAAGATGGTGTTATGGTTCATCAATGGCACTATGGATATTCCTTTGGGATTCAATGGTGTCTCAAGTTTTTGGTTTTATTTATTCGAATGCTTTGCTTTGACCTGATATTCATTGGTATTGTTGTGGTGAGTATTTTATTAAGAATTATAGCAATATTTCATTTAAATTTCCCATCTCTAACGATTATTTTGTCGATAAACGATTTCGATAATTTCACACGAAATTAACTTGCTTAAAAAGCCCGCACATTTTTATATTTCTCTTTTTTTCTTTTAGACTTTTTGGATTTTTGGTGGAAGAGAAGGTGAACTTTCAGGTTGGGGTATGTTAGGATTTGTATGCTTTATGATCGTCTATACTGTGGAGTTTATCATAACCGGAATGGTGGTGGCAAAGCTCTTTGCAAATCCCATCAATGCCGTACTTTGTGGCCTGGTGTTGTGGATATTTATGTACGCCGCATTTTGCATAATATTGGAACGGTATTGGGACGCCCATCAGTATTACGTCTTTTTCGTTCTGGTGGCATTTTTCAATTGCCAAATGCACTTTAGCATGAACTTGTTCCGACTCTGTATCGAATCGCCCGAGGATGTGAAGACCATTGACTTTGTTGTCCTCTTCACAGCCGCCGTTAGCTCGGCCTTGATCTATCTGTTGATCCTACTGGCCGCCCAATGGAGAATGCCCGGAAAGTTCCTCAGTCGCCGGATCGTAAACAATCGTCGCCGGAAACAATCGAAAAGTGATAATGCCATTCTGTATTTGGGTCGAGCTCCGAGCTGGCAGAACTTTGAATACGGCGATGTGGGTTCTGTGGAAATGATGCGACTCCGACATGTTAGTACTGCCCATCGGGACTCGGAACGTAAGATTTTGAAGAACATTTCGATGAGAATTTACAAGGGAGAGGTCTATGCTATGCTCGGACACATTGGATCCGGAAAACTGACCGTACTCCGGGTGATGGCGGGCCTGAAGTTTCCACTGAAGGGCTCGGTGACGGTTATGGGCAAACCCTTTGGTCCCAAGGAGGCGTCCCGCCACATGGTCGACTTCCGTTTCGATGAACACGGCCTGAATAAACATCTCACAGTCGAGCAGACCATCGACTATCATGTTCGACTGAAGCTACGGCCCTCGGATATGGATCGCTTTCTGATCGAAAAGCGAAAGTGGCTGGGCATTTTGGATCAGCATGTCGAAAGCCGACGAGCAAGGATTGGACAATTGAGTTTCGGATCTCAGAGATTGGTGGCTTTGTGCGTATGCCTGGCCGGTGACACTAAGATCATTGTACTGGAGGAGCCCACCCTGGGACTGACCGGACGAGAGGCGCAGATCTTTTGGTCGATTGTCATCAGTGAGAAGGAGAACAGATCGTTTGTGATGGGCACCTATAGTGTGGGGGAGGCGGAACATATTGCCGATCGGATTGGAATCCTTAGTATGGGTGTCCTGGAGGCCAGTGGAACACCATTCTTTTTGCGAGCTAAATTCAGCAGCACCGTGGATTTGGTAAGAAATCTTGATTTCTAAATAAAAGTACTTTATTTTAATTATTGCACTTTCAGGTCATCATCAAGAAACCTCATGTACCGGATCAGCCCATTACCGATTTCATTAATCAATTCCTAACAAACGTGGAGCCTGACAATGAGATAGGTGATACTTTGACCTATCGATTGCCCGTCAAGTATCGTCCAAGATTGCAGAAACTTTTGATTCATTTGGAAATCGATCGGAAAAAGTTGGGAATTGAAAATGTACGAGTTGTGGGCGCAGAACTGTCCGATATTTATATGAAATTGGCAACATCTTTTCGATTACAACAGCAAATTATACCCGATGTCAGTAAGTTTCAAAAGAGGGGGTTTTCAAAGGGTATTATTTTACAAAATTAGAAACAATTTTTAATATTTTTTTTTTGTAATTCTTCAGCTCAAACATTTAAATACCAAGTGGTTTCCAAAAAACACTTGGCCAGACAACGAATGCGAGCCATGTTCTATAAAAAGATGATCCACACAGCGCCCAATGTCTGGCCGATAATTATGATTATTACCAGCTTTATACTAATCGCCATTATAGCCCGATTATCGGTTATGCTAAACGTACCAAAGGAGCGAATGAATGAAATTAAATTGGCCTATGATCATGAGAAGGATGAAACTATTGATAATATTCCCGATCTCAATGAATGTGGTTATATTAACATAAAATCAGTTAGCCGAAACAAGAATAATATAAAGGAGTCGCTCTCGAAGCTCTTCAACAAGGACTCCCTAGTCTGTGAAAAGGGAAGTTATCGCAATGATTTGAAGAAAAAGGATGGACTGGCCAGTATGGGGGCTGTGGAGGCGGATGGGGAACAGGATATAAATGGTTATATAAGTCAGGATATTTTCCATTCGGCTCCAGTGATGCTAAATCTATTGCATAATATTATATTGAAGTAAGTTTAGTTAGGAATTAGTGTATAATTGAGGGATGCTTGTATATTTCTTCTACTTAAGCTTTTTGAAAGGTGACGAAATCACAAAAAATTGTTTACAGAATTACTTCTTAATATTACTTACTATTAGTACAAAAAATAGGGACTAAGTAAGAACAAACTATATGCATTATAAACATGCCTTACAAATTTTTAATAACAAAACTTGTAAATAAAACTCATCAATTTTAATGATTTTTCGCCACCTCCCTTTTAAAGTCAACCAAAGCCATTGTTTCTTATATTCCTCTCTTTAAAAACCTCTTTATTTTTAGACTTTCCTATCCGGATAGAAATGACATAGTTTCCCTGGTCAATAACCATCCAATGCCCACCCAACTCTCGATGAAAATCAATCTGCTGGACAACAAGATCGCCCACATCCAAGCCCCCTTGGTTATTGGATGCATTCTGCCATTGACTATATCCGTATTCGTAATCCCCCTGGTCGAGGAGGAGGTCTACAAGCTAAGATTCCTCCAGCATATGGCTGGATTGGGTCTGAAAATATTCTGGGGCATTAATTTGTTCTGGGATTGGTTCACTTTTTTCATCTATTCGATCATTATTGTGGTGATAATGAGTCTGGTGGGGATTGGGGGCTTTGGATTCTATGAGAATTCTCTACTCGTAATGCTGATGACATTTTTTGGATTGGCAGCACTACCGATCACCTATCTGGTGGCCATGTATGTCAACAAATCGATGATGCGAGCATTTCTCGTTTCCGTCTTGGTCCATGGAGGATCGGGCATTGTCCTATATATCATCTACTGGGATGTGGCCAACAGCAATGATATATTCTTTTATGGAGCATGTCTCTCACCGGGATTTTCGCTACTGGATGGCATTAGTAATATATATACACAGTCATTGGAACAGGAACTATGTCGTTCCAAATGCGAGGCACATGCTAGTTGCACTCCTGAGAATATGCACGAGGTGGTGCCTCATTGTCGCTGTAAGTTTTTGTTTAAAAATAGTGATATATCTATAATTTATTACCTTGATTATTCTTCTAGTTGATACCTACTTTAAATGGATGTCTCCGGGAATACTTCCGGCTATTTTCTTCATGACAGTCACTTCCATTATTTCCTTGTGTCTTATATTTTGGATTGAATTACATCGCCGCGAGAAGAAGTTTCATTCATCGAGAGAGTACGATTTTAAATATATAAATATATTTAGATTTTTGTAAATTATTTATTTATAGTCTTCATAAAATGCGTACTGCTGCATATCCTTTCGATGATGGCGATGTGGCGGATGTGAAACTAAAAATTGCCGAAGCTGATATGACAAAATGCAAGCAATCTGTATTTTTGGTGGATCAAGTAGAGGCTCGTGTTCCTCCGACTGGAAATAGGATTAATACAGTATCATTTGCTCTAAATAAGTATGTTCTTAGATAATATTTAGGTTAAAGATACATGGTATTTGATAAGGAGACTAATTACACTGACTCATAATTTATAAACTTGAAAATACTGTGCACTCTATGAGTATTTAACAAGATATACTATATCCGGTACTTCTCGTAGCGACAAAACACACTTTACTCTTAAGAATACTATACAGTCTTGATCTCTACGAGTTACGGGTATTATTACTAACCAGACTATATAATACCTGGTACTTCTTTAAGCAATTATTAAAAATAAAGCTGGCTTTTATAGAATATTTTCGAATATTATACCGAAGTATACTACAATAACCTACAATATACCTACAATAACCGATTCTTAATTATACTAATAATAACTATTATGTATTATTTTTCCCCCCCTTTTCAGATACATGAGCATGGGCGTTTATGGACCCAGAAATTGTGGCAAAAGTCATCTAATCCGCCAATTGGTTGGCAAAGAGGGTTTCGCCTTTGGAGAGATTTACGTCCGTGGTCTGGACTTCAAGTACGATCTGGAAAGTATTCACACCTACATGGGCTATTGTCCGCAACACGGAGGACTCCTCAAGGAGCTGACACCCAGGGAGCACATCCGTTTGCTGTGCATGATTCGCGGTGTTCCCGACAAGAAGATCGGTGAGAAAATGCATGATCTATGCCTCATGCTGAACATGACCGGATGGATGCATCGAAAGTGCGGCCTCTTGACGGCCGAAAAGCGCCAAAAGGTGAAAATAGCCTTGGCTTTGGTGGCCTACAATAAGATTTTGGTGTTCGATGAACCCACCCGGGGAATGCCTTCGACGACACGTCGTGAAATCTGGAATATCTTGAGATATTTGCGTTATTGCGGCAAGACCATCATTTTTGCCACAAACGATGAACTGGAGTGCAAGGTCCTGGCCGATTTCATTATCCTGTTCAGCGACAGCGAAATGTTGGCCATCGGTAGTCTTCAGTACTTGCGATATAAGTATAGTCATGGTTTCTATTTGGAAGTACGCCTTATTCGGGATGGAGTCACAGTCGCCGAATCGGAGGAGAAGTGCGTGTTATTATTATAATTATTATTTTTATGATTTATTTATATTTTATTTAATTTGTAGTCTGCGCAAAGATGTGGAGAATCTGGCCAAGTTTGTCAACTTTTTGCATAATAGATCGGAGTTGGTGTAAGTGGTTTGCAATTATCTTTGCAATATATAGAATTATATTTCCTATATTTTTAATCCAAATACTTATAATAATCCATCTTTTTTCAGTGGCCGCCTTCATAATTGGTTCAAATACTATATCCCCGTGGGCCATATTGTCTACTCCTTTTTATATGGCGCCATGGAGAAGAACAAGATCCGGCTGAACGTCTCCGATTACTGCATCTACCAGGCGGACATGAACAATGTGGTGGCCCAGGTCCAAATAACCCGGGCGGAGCTCAAGTATCGCCTCAACCAATTGGAGGGACAAATGCTCGATCAGGCTCCCAAATATCGAAAGGGGAAGAAAGGAAAAAAATTCTAGAATGCTTCTAGGACTTTTGAATTTACAATTTATAAATCTGTAATTCTTCCTAATATGTAATCTGTATGTACTTATATATTTTGTACATTATATGTTATAATCTAGCGTTCTCTAAACGCCGTTCAATTAATTTTGATTTTTCTTTTTTTATTTTATTATTTATTATATAAACTCTTGTAAATATTACTTATAAATACAATTAAACTACTCTGTGTCTGCTGCATCAAGGGTATTCATTTAATTTTATTTTATCTTTAAAATACACATTTTCACAACTACTTTACTTATTTTCATATAACTCAAATGTTGTATTCAAATAGAAAAAACTTCATAATTCACAGAAACCGCAATATTTTCAAAATGGTCCAAAAAAGACTTAGGTCCATAAACATTTTTATCAACATTTACTGAATGAATTTAATTAAAATTTGAACAGAGATTGTATCAGATTTCTATCAAAAGTTTTCAAAAATATCCCTCCCACGACTATCGAATATCGCTGTTTTTCTCAGCCGGGTGGCATCCCTAGAATCTATCGATAATTAGGGGAGCTCTACACGGTATCTGAAGAACTCCACCAAAACGAGGCAGCACCTACATATATCATAAATAAATAAATAAATAATAAACCAAAAAGTTTATTCGTTTTGATTACAAAATAATTTGAAAAATTCAGTCGGAAATGCTATGGCTATGTGTGAAACCGCTAATTTGAAAACTAAAAAGCCGAAGGGAGAAAACAACAATTTTAAAATTCTCAAACTAAAAGCACCAAAAATTTGGATCAATCTCCGAGGATCAGTGAGGCTCTATTAGGATGAGCAGTTTGGTTCGTTCGAGGTAACTTGGGTCCGCTTTCGGAGTTTCTTCTGGACACGGCGCTCTATCCCGCGGAAGATGTTCTCGGGACGCTGCGAGAGGATCTTGAGAAGACGCTCGTAGAGGGAGGCCTTCAACATATTGTAGGGATTTATAAAAGGGAGGAGAATGAAGGCGGCTGCCTCCACCTGCATCCAGGGACTCGCTGGGTTCTGGGCGATGGACCAGAAGGTCTCCATGATGATGGGGGTGACTAGCGGGGCCATGGCCCTCACGGTTTCGGCGACACGTCTGCGGAAACCCGCAAAACGGGTGGAGTGGTGCAGGCCAGAGTGTTGGTGGCAGTCGCGCAGCTGGATGCGCTCGAAAAGGATCCTCATCAGGTCCCTCAGGAGAGGCTCAAAGGCGGAGCCTTTCCTAAAATGGTTTAACTCGCACATCAGCTTCTGCCAGTGTTTCATGGCCAGCTCCACGGCGGACCACTCGCAATACCTCGTCACCTGGAGCAGCACCCGAAAGAGGGCCTTTCCGTGGGCGCCTAATTCAAAGGTGGGAGTGCCCTGAGCCACCGTCAGGGTCGTAGAAGCCAGCTGCAGGAATACGGCCACGTAGTTGGCCATGAGGGCTTTCTTGTTTCGGGCCACTGCCCTCAGGAACTTGTCCTCCAGGCTATTGCCAATCTCGAAAATTTGGAGCTGTAGTTGGCGGGAGATCCAGGCAGACTTTAGCAAAGCCACCAATACGCTGCAGGCTTCTGCGTGGATATGCACTTCCTCGTGATGCAGAATGAGGCTCACTCGTAGGAACACGCGGCTGTTGATCAGGTCATCAGCATCCATAACGCCATGCTGCGTCCAGGCAATAATCACCTCGAAGAGAAGGATTATTGGAAGAGAAAGAACAGAAAATGGATCCCTACCCTTAGACATTGCTTCTCGCCCTCAATTCCGATGTTGTCATTTCCTATCAAGTGCCCCATAAGGGTCACCACGTGGGGGGCATGTTCCCAGAGGTGACGATAGATGGAAGGCTCCCGATCGGGACGCACTCTAAAGATAAATTCGCGGGCCTCCCAGGGGAGCAGCTCCAGGAGCACGAGGAAGGCGCGGATGTGCTCCGGGCAGTTCTGGACCATTGCCTCGGAGAGCTCAGGTAGCTCGTGGCAACATGAGGCGTAGTAAAGGCCCAAGTGCACGAGGCATAGGGCCAGCTGGATTACAAGGGGTCGTCCAAATGGGAGGAGTGCCGCTTCCTGCAGGTGCTGGATCAGGCAGCTCTTCAGGTGGAGGACCCTTTCCGGGGTCAGGATGTACGCCTCTCGTTTGATCTTCAAGAGGATGGTGCAGGCAGCGAATAGGAGCACGTGCATGGGCTGACACTGCACGTCTGCCAAGATCTCGTTCAGAACCGGCCATGCGTGTGGAGACCACTGGAAGGCTCTTAGGAACCTGTACCTATTTGAATTGAGCACTATGATCGGGGGCACCAGGGCCTGGGTCACATTCTCCTTGGTGTAGTGGATTATCACTCTCTCGCGGTAGAAGTTCGCCCAAGACTGCATCGAAATTTCTATTTTTTTCAGTTTCGATATTTTTTTCAAAAACTCACCATGTTAAAAGATTAAATGAATCACGATATTCAAGTTGCAAAATAAGTTCAATTTGGAAAAAACTATTCACAAAACCCGACTGGTTATTAGGATTAATTAGACTTAGACTCCTGAAAAATATATTCTAAAGAAATACTACGAGCTATATAGTAGGAGCTTGTGCTCGTTGTAAGATCTAAACACAATTGAAAGTTTTCCGAAATGATCCAGGGGTGTGGAAACAAATGACATTTTGTCCAAAACTACTTGGATTGATTTTATTTAGGATTTTATTTTTATTGAAAAATAGCCTATTGAGTTTTTCATATATTTTCAAAAATGAAAATAGAAAAAAATGCCTAAAGAAGTTAAAGAAAGTAAGTCTGTAAAGAGAAAACAGGATCATTTAATCATATTAAATCTTAATAATTTGTTATTGGATAAAATAGACCATTTTTAAGGAGCTTCAAAGAGGTTCATATAATCCGGGAAGTTCTAAAACTCACACTTGACTTAACAGAGAGGCCATTGGCCTCCGATTAGGCTTGGAATTATGAATACATTTTCTCCCACTTCTCTACCTTTACTTTAATAACCATATTTATTTTAAAAAGGCAACACTTTCGTAACCAGAAGTTTGCCTTTACAATTACCAAGGCCAGATGTCTGGCCTGGATATTTTACATAGACACAGACATTTATAATGTGGGGACATGGGCTTTCCCCGGATCAATAATTAAAAGGCTTTGTACTGGGTTCACAACGTGTTGCTTTGCATAATAGATGAGAGTCCCTGGGGAAAGTAAATTTTTCAATGCTGGGAACTTTTTCATATGCCCCAATGAATATTTAATAAAAAAAAAGAGCGAAGTAGTGACAACTGAAATGTACAATGACTAGTTACAATTGATTTTAGTGAAGAAACAGAGAGAAAATTGCTAAAAAAAATAATTAAATTATTTTTAAACAGCAGAATTAAACAATAAAATAATATTTTAATAATTTAAACTAGTATTTTTAACTATTTAGTGCTTAAAATATAGTTTATACGCTTCTTAATTTAAATCACTCTCTAAAAAGTTATCGCTATCGTTCTTTTGGCGCGCACTTTGTATCGCCACTAGCTTAATATCGGCGCTCAGCTATCGATGATGTAATTGGAACAAAAGCTCATCGATGTTAACTTGTGTATTATTTAGAATTTTTTTTGGCATTAGAAGTTTGCAACACTTAAAAATTGATGTTATTTTTTTTTTGCTAATCGGCCGTGTGTGTGAGTGCGGGTGTCGCGAGTGTGTGTCAGTCAGTCAGCTGTTAATAGAATTCCCCGAAAAAATCCAAACAAATATGAAATATTAGAAATAAGTGGTCAACGTGCAAAATGCAATAACGTATAAAATCAGCAAAATAAAATCTATTTTATCTACATGTATTACCTATGACGCAGCCAAAGATAAAAGCTAATAGAAGTACTATATGGTGTATTATTTGGTGTTCTATATGTATGATAGTCGGTATGTAATACACATACTAATACGTATGTAAAATATCTATTTTATCATGTTATGTGCGGCTTATAATTATTAGACGACCCGCACGATGGGACAAATCATACGTATGACTAGAAAAAAAAATAACCGGCGTGTCAAAACTATGGATATCATATGACTATTTGTTTTTTTTTTTAGTTTTTCCGAGTGAGGCGCCAAAGTTGTCTCTATAACGGTGCATACACACATTTCCCACAAGCCCCCTTGCATGGGATTTTCTTGTTGTTTTTGTTGAGTGTTTCATGCGCATTTGCCGATGCCGGTCGGTCCCCTATGTTGCACGACCCTGACATTTACCGTTATCTTTCATGGTTGCCATGGTCATTATAGAGTGGGTGTTGGTTCTATGCACTATAAAAAAAAATTGTTAGGGTATTTTTTCAATAATTTTGTATTTGAAATTTAATTATAATAAATATGATTCAAAATTAATATATATATTTTTTTATATAATTAGATAGACATTTTTTCGAATATACTTGCCTTTATAAAATGTATTATCAACCTCTATTTATTTATTTCTGAATAAAAACCATTAATTTATAATAGTATTTACAGTGACAGTGCAAAATACGCAAATCGAATAAAGGTCAAACGCATCGGCATCAATAATAATCACCAATCGAACAATTTCCCAATCAATTATGCAGTAATGCCCCAACACCGCGTTCCAATATTTATCTCTAAGTGGTTGTTAACTTAATCGCACAAGTTGCAAATGAAATAATATATATACATATATACAATATACCCATAGATGTATGTATATAATAATTGTAATTATTGTGAAAAGAAGCAACCAAAGGGAGGAATGAGTGCACAATAATAGAACTTTATCTAATAAACTAAAAGGGGGTGTTCTATTTTATTTCCAAAAGAAAAAGGAATATGAGTCATAGTCCAAAGGGCAACAAAAAATGGCTTCATCTCAGGATACATCTTACTAAAATCCTATCTAGAGTGTTACCATACTTGGAATTAAAGGTTCTTGACTTTAATTTTTGTGACAGTCACATGCCAAAGCCCATGAATCATCGTAGTTTCCAATGGGAATCCTCGTGATGAGTTTTTGGCATATTGTAGATTGGAGTTATTGCTTTAAGTACATTCCAGGTAAAAATCCATATCACCAACAACGGTTAGTAACGATAAAAGGTGCCACACGCCTACAATTGGGGGTCTACTTAGGTTTTCTAGGTATGTACATGTGTCCTAGATTTTTTTTGAACTCTCATATTCTATTGTTTCTACTTAATGTTTATTTTATGGATTATTCTATTAGTAAAACTAATAGATTCTATTATCAGACACATCCAGTGTCAAAATAATACTAAATGACCCCTCAAGATTGTCCAATCAGAATGATGATAACGAAACTAGTGGCTTTCGATTCTTTATATATATATTTTTTTTTGATTGGAAGTCACTCCAAAAAGTCAATGAATCATCATATGAGTCATAAAATGCAGATCCTCATGGTAATAACTCAAATAGATTAGATTCTGAGTATTTTGATGGAATTACAGCGCATTCTGAAGACAAAAATATTGAATAGTCATTTTCAAGAACCTATTTCTTGGGAGAAAATAAGTAAAAATATATTTAAAAAAAATATAACTTTCCTTCGAGCCGGATTTGAACCAGCGACCTATGGATAACCGCGCTTTTTCAATCACCGTCTACAGTCCACCGCTCTACCAACTGAGCTATCGAAGGCTGCTTATTCATCTCCGCCCTGCAACCGTATTTTAATTCAATTAGTTTTATATATATACACTTTAGTATAACAGTATATATATATACATGCATCAATAAAATGCTTGAGACAGCTTATATGAATACAAACAAGCAGTGCTTTTTTTTTTTTGTTGTAAATAATGTATGCACATCAAAATATATAGATTGTTTACCTTTCACTTTTGTCGTCTTGCCGGCTAGACGTAGAGGTGCTTTTTGTTTAAGTGATTAGACGGGGTCTTCCGTGGACCTTCGATAGCTCAGTTGGTAGAGCGGTGGACTGTAGACGGTGATTGCAAAAAACAGCGCGGATATCCATAGGTCGCTGGTTCAAATCCGGCTCGAAGGAATTACTTTTTTTTATATTATATTTTTAAATTTTTTTTTACTTTTCAAAGCACCTACTTAGCTTTTAAAAAGTATATATTTTTTAAATATTAACCCCAATTAAGTACAGTCTGTCCTGACTGTAAACGTGTTTAAAAACTGAACGAAAGTAAAACGTGTTTGTACTCTGGATCTGGCTAATATAAATCTAAAGATATCATAAAAATAGTCGATCGAGTTGATAAGGTCAGGAGCACTCTTCTGAGGAACAGGTGTTCGCTGGAACTTCTATTCAGCATAATCAAATTTTAAGAATTTTTTTTTTAGCAAACCAGGGTTCTTTGAATCTTATCTATATCGCTACGATTTGTCGCATGACCACTTCAGATTTTCAGAAGTAAGACACGAGCAATTAACCCTAAGGGACTTGACTCATTGCTGTAATACAATTTGTTTAAAAATTTGTTTATCACATATTCAGAAACACAAAAAAAAATGTTGATTCATTTTTACTTGCTAATTGCTGACTTAACATTCTTTAATAGTTTGTATTACCCATTAATCGATACATTTATGTCCAAGGGCTTTACGGCTTTTGGTTTGTCTTTTTATCGAAGTTATCTGTACTTGTTAAATAAATAGATTAATGCATTACATTTTTAAAGAGGGTTTTATTTTAAAAACTCGTTAGTAACTTGTATGTTCAAAAGCTTAAAGGCCTTTATTATTTTTATCGTTTTTATCGAAGTTATCTGTAATTGTTAAATAAATCGATTAAGGTATTAGGTTCTCCAATAAAGACTCACAAAACTAATATGTGCTTCAACTATTACTATTAGCCTTTCCTAAGAATAATATTATTATAGTTTTTATCGCGTTTATCGATTTTTTATCACTTTAGTTTATTATTAGACAGTGTTGTATTGCAAAAATGTCTTTTCAATTAGCCATAATTTCAAAAAAAATGAAAGTCAAGGGTCATTTAATGAGTAATAGATCCACTTGCGATATTAAAAGTTTATGAAAATGCCAGACATCCCTCAAATAAATAAATATATATACATACGTATGTATGCCCTGGGACGCGTAACTCTGCACCGGAGTGGGACATGTGTATCGGCTTATCATTTTTTAGCCAGGCCAAAAACCAATAAACGCTATTTGCTTTATTGGCCTTCAATAGATTGCGTTCGAAATATACCTTTTCATTGATAAATACGGAAGATTGTCCGCCGGAGCGTTTCAGTTCACACTTGTCCGGCACCCGTAACGGTCGACGGTATCGAATACGCCGGAGTATTCGCGATTACGTTTTACTTTAGGTACTTTATATTTTACTATATATATATCTCTATGTAGAAACTGCTTTTTTTATTATTATATTTTTTTTTATTATTGTGTACTTGGTGAGTAAGCTGGAGTAAGGTGGCATTATCGTATCGGTGGTACAGCTGTGGCTGACACTCTTTTTTTTTGTGTGGATTTATGCCACTCCAGGAATTGTGGATACTTCGGGTGAAACCCGATATTATTGTTTATTTCTGTTCCACATTGTGTGTTGATGTGATTCTAGTGTCTACGGTCGTAAAATTTTGCTTGGTTTATCCCAGAGACATGGATATTCTAAGTAATAATAGAAGAGTGATAAAAAACTAAATTATTATATTTACTTAAAAATAATTATTAAATTGTTGAACTAGTTTTCTTTTATTATAATTCTCTCTCCTTACTTTTTACCATAAAATATGTATTATGTTCAATAAATATTTTTAGTATTTTATTTTTATTTATATCTCTATCTTGATGAAACCATTTAAAGGTCAAACTAATTTTGCAAATCTAATCAAATACATGTATCGTAATGACATTTCATCACAACTTTAATTGCAAAAAGAATATAATTGAAATGTCAATTTAATAGAGCCAAAAAGGGTTTAAAAAAATACAACAAAATTTATAAAATATAACATCAAAACTAATGTGTTTAAAACCAATTATAAATATTAAACAAAATAATATTAAATCAACAAAATCGTTTGTTTGAAATTGTTTGAAAACCGATAAGAAGACACTGAAATTTTTTGAAATTATCTGTCTGGGAAAAAATGAAAAAACCCCCCGAAAAATTGATTATTTCAATTAGCTCTCATAATCAAAGCACTTTGATTACAAGTGGCCTAATTCATAAACAAATAATGTCGCTTTTGCAAAGTCCATACATCTCACAAAGCTTCCTCGGAAGCATTTTTTTTTTTTGCAGCTTATCGTCTCATATACTCAGTCACATATATGCAATATACTTGATTTTTTTTCCACAAATCATTCTGAGATCAGCAAGTTTCTCATTTTCACGAAACACGAAAAAAAACCAGTTGCCAACAATTTTCAGTTTGATTCAATTTTAATTTAAGTTCTCAGTTGGCAACTGCAAACACCTGTTTAATTAATTTATTTTTTGTTTGGTAATTTGTATTTTTAATTGCTAGACGTTGGAAACAAAGAAATATCATTTGGGGCTAGCCCTTCTAAATTTAGTAAATCATACCATCGAAAGATTAAGAATGTCCAGACGCCTCGATTGCAGTTCGATAATTCGAATTGAAATCAAAAAGTCATAAAAAAACAAGAGTTTTGCAGTTTCATTTGCACTTTTCATCCAATCTATAGAAGTTATATTACGATTACGAGAAGTTACGATTATTACAAAACCATAACGTGTGCTGTTACAAGAGTTATGATTTAGTTACCTAACATATTTAGTGCTTTATTATTGTTTGTTCTTTCTGTTTTTTTTTTTTTTTTTTTGTATGAAACCCTATCTAGCTAACATAACCATCGATAATGATTAGATAATTGAAAAGCACTTTGGATGTGAAAATAGATCGTTAGACGAAAGTACTTGACATTGCATTTTCAAAACCACAATGAACTTGTAAACAGGGTCACTTTTATTAACTTCCTTCTGATAAGGCTTAGGGAAGTCAATATTTTAAGGATTTCTAACCCCTTTTGAATTAAAAATTCCCAATGGCATTAGACCTATGAAATCAATAAGTGTCGATTGAATATTTAAACAACAGACAGTTTTTCGCCACCTTGAAAATTTCAATAGCATTGAAAAAGAAAAAGGTACCAACAAAAAATCAATAAAATATGTTTTATTTTTTTCTTTTATTTCCAGACCTTAATTTTAAGAGAATTTTAATGTTGAGCTAATCTAAAGAAATCCAAAGCCAAGACGAACAAATTCCCCAAAAAAACGAAACAAGAAAACAATAACTATCCTGAAAAATGGCCAGGGTTAGTAACTGGGACAAGTTTGTCCTGTTACTTTGGAAAAATTGGACCCTACAATGGAATCACAAATTGCAAATGGTCATCGAACTGGTATTGCCGGCTATATTCTCCCTGCTACTGGTTCTGGTCCGGACTCTGGTCGATACGGAACAGATGAATACGAAAGAATACCCCGCATTAAATATTACAGATCTGAGTTTGTTGAGGTGAGTTGTAGAGAAATTTTATATGGTAACGTTTTTGTCCGGTTATTGTATCAAGTTTTATTTTTATAAAATCTTTTATCTCTATTTTAATTGCTTGATTTATTTTAGTTTTTTTTACAGTGTTTTTTGGAAGTTTTTTTTGAATTTATTTGTTTAAGGAATCTTTATTTTTACTGCTTAAGTACGAACTGCCTCTCGAATCGAACGAGTGGCGCTGTCGCATACCGTACGGCTTGAATCGCGGGAATAGCAACGAGACTAGAAGAAAGAATAAGCATCTTTTGATGTTGAATTTTTACGAAAATTATCTTGGAAAGTTAAAGCTTTGAGCTTTGAGCATCTGGTTAATATAGTCGTTAAATAGCTGATCAAAAAGCCTACAGTCTGCTTTGCTTCTGAATTATTTATATTTTAATCCAATTACAATTTTTCTTTGCTTTTAGCATTGTGCATTCTATTTTGTTTTTCTAAGATTTTCATTACAAGGCTTCTATTGCTTTTCGCTTTGTAGTTTAGTTTTCTTTTTCCAATTTCTACCCTTTACCTTCAAAGTTTCTATTTTGTATATATTCGTACATGATATGTAAATGTTTTTCGTCTGAAGGAATTCGTTGCATAGAACGTCCTACCTTGGCAAGCTCCTAGCGCTGATTGCACCCAACCAACAGAGGTAAACAAATCAAAAGTAAACACAAAACACCACAAAAAAAAAAAAATAATAAAAAACACAACCTAATAACAAACTTCAACCTGGCACCGTAACAAAAACTAAAAACAAATAAACAAACCACATGATATATACACTCTGAACACTTTAATCTCAAAGCTAAAACAGGATTACAAGCGCAAATACCACAATTAAAATGCATTTGAAAGTTTTTCAACAACTTCCTTGGTTATTTTGACATAAAAAGTGACAAAAATTAGTTGATTAAATTATAATAAATACTTTAACCATCATGTTTTAAGTGGTTTTAAAATTTTATCAGTTAAAAAATTATTGTATTGGAAGTTGCTGGTTTTTATAACATATACTATAACTAAAAGCCTTATGTTGTAAACAAATCAACTGATTTTTTTTATTTAATTTAAAGTTTCTAGAGTATGGGAATATTATTATTTGGGAATAAAAACTACACACATTCCCAATGCTATGTTTTTTTTTAAATTTTTATTGAAATGAATATTCAAGCAAAAGTTATTTCTTCAATTTAAAGTTTAGTTGGTTTTTAAAGGCCTTTATTGGAAAAACTAAGGAAAATATTATCAATCTAACCTTTTAACTGAAATTTACTTTAGAACGACATAAGCTTAAGTTTTTAATGACATACTACTATACTATACCAAACTATACCAACCAAATCGAAACGTTTCCGCAAAAATCGTACATCACTTTTTACTGAAATTGAAAATTTAATGAAAATTTTTTAAAGGAAATGACACTCATTTTTCTACCAATCCTACCAAAATGTATGAGTTAAAATAAAAGTTTTGCCAAATTTAAAGATTCAATTTTATTTTTTCCATTAATTTTATAAAAACTTCTCTATAGAAAAGCTGTATTTATGTAAAGTTTGATTTTTGTAAAACACGATCCTTTCGTGGAGATGCGTCAAAATGTTCTTTTTAATAGAAAGAACTAAAAAAAAAGATTTAGAGACAATCATCAAAATAAAACATACTATATACTACCACAAATATTTAAATAATTTTTAAACAACATAAAAAAACGTTTCCAAAGCCTTAAACCATTTCCATAAACACCTTCATAAAAGCCAAAAGCCAACTATGTTAACCAAAAGTTCTATTAAATAGTAAAAAAAACTAAAAACAGAAAAAAGAAAAATATCAATAGATAAAACGCACCAAATAAATATGTATATTTATCATATAAAATAATGTTTAAACTATTTTTTGAAAAATTACAATAATTAGGCCATAAACACCTTCATAATTAAATTTTACTCACCAACTGTTATATTTTGCTAGAAAAAGACTTAAAAAAAAAACGTTCAAAGAGATCAAAATAAAACCAAACATATATTACCTTACACATCAATCTTTTATACAAAACAACATATACTAACCTTTCCAAACCCATAAACCCCTTCATAAAAGCTAACCAAATAAACTAACCAAATGTTTAATGTTTCGCAAATTTTTATAAAAGAAAGAAAAACTAAAAAATGAATATATTCTAAAACAGGAGTTCCTTAAAAGCCGGCATTAACAACTTCAAGTTCCTGGTGTGCTACTCCCCGACCAGTCCCGCCCTGGACAGACTAGTCTCCGAAGCTCTGTCCAATCTGGATCCTGCAATGCAGGAGCCATGCTCCTCGGCCAATGCCATGCAATTGGAGGCCGATGTGATAAGTAAAAGTGCCTTTGCCGGCATTCAGTTCGATGATTCGTGGTCCGGATATGACACATTGCCGGATGATTTCCGGTTTTCGTTGCGGTTTCCATCGGAATTGAGAACGGCAACGATTGCAATCGCCAATACATGGCTGACGATGCGACTGTTTCCGACGATCGACTTGACGGGTCCTCGAAACGAGGGCGATGACGATGGTGGCATACCTGTGGGTTATCTACGAGAAGGATTTTTGCCTTTACAACACCAACTGACGATGGCATTTTTGAGAAACAAAACAAATGGAGAGCTACCAGACATATACATGCAACGCTATCCATATCCATCGTATATTTTCGATCCACTTTTGGAGGGAATGTCATCGATAATGTCGCTGATCATACTGCTGAGTTTCATATATCCCTGCACGTATATAACAAAGGTGAGGGGGACGAAGTCTATAGCTTTCGGGTTGTGTAATATTTTAAATATTTTATTCTAATTTCAGTATATAACCGCCGAAAAGGAGAAACAACTGAAGGAAGTCATGAAGATCATGGGGCTGAGCAATTGGCTGCATTGGACGGCGTGGTTTGTAAAGTCCTTCATAATGCTAACCATATCGGCCATACTGATAGCCATTCTGGTGAAGATCCATTGGTCCGAGGACGTGGCTGTGCTGACGCATGCCAGCTTCACGGCATTGGTCTTCTTCCTGATCATCTATATAATAGCCAGTATATGCTTTTGCTTCATGATGGCCACGTTCTTTTCGCGGGCCAGTACAGCGGCGGCGGTTACGGGCCTCATCTGGTTCATAGCCTATATACCGTACTCCTTCACGATCAACTCGTACGACGGCATGACTTTGGGCTCCAAGTTGGGCTGGAGTCTGATCTCGAATACGGCCATGGGCTTTGGCGTTAAACTGATCCTCGGCTTTGAGGGTACGGGCGAAGGCCTCCAGTGGAGTAACATCTTCACGCCAGTTTCGGTGGATGATACGCTAACGATCGGTGCTGTGATGATTATGATGCTGGTGTCGTGTGTCCTTTGCATGACCATCTGTCTCTATGTGGAGCAAATAATGCCGGGCAGCTTTGGGGTACCAAAGAAATGGAATTTCCCCTTTACTCGCGAGTTCTGGTGCGGCGAACGGGAGTATACAGGTGTGGAGGACGTGCCCAATAGTAGATATCTGGAGCACCGAGATCCGAATGCCTTCGAAACGGAACCGGCCGACAAACATATCGGTCTACAGATGCGACATTTGAAGAAGAAATTCTCCGATAAATTGGTCGTCAAGGGTCTGTCGATGAATATGTTTGAGGATGAAATAACGGTGCTTCTGGGACACAATGGTGCCGGCAAGACAACAACAATATCGATGCTAACGGGCATGTTCCCGCCCACCAGCGGCACGGCGATCATTAATGGCAGTGACATTCGAACGAATATCGAGGGAGCCCGCATGTCCTTGGGCATTTGTCCGCAACACAATGTCCTGTTCGACGAGATGAGTGTGGCGGATCACATTCGGTTCTTTAGCCGGATGAAGGGCCTGAAGGGCAAGGCTGTGGAGCAGGAGGTGGCCAAGTACCTGAAAATGATCGAGCTGGAGGACAAGGCCAATGTGGCGTCCTGCAAGCTATCCGGTGGCATGAAACGTAAGCTTTCCGTGTGCTGTGCCCTGTGCGGTGATACTAAGGTGGTGCTTTGTGATGAGCCCAGTTCCGGAATGGATCCCTCAGCCCGACGGCAATTATGGGATCTCCTCCAACAGGAGAAGATCGGCAGGACTCTACTTCTGACCACACATTTCATGGATGAGGCTGATGTTCTGGGGGATCGTATTGCAATTATGTGTGATGGCGAGCTCAAGTGTCATGGCACTTCGTTTTTCCTGAAAAAACAATACGGTTCCGGCTACCGGCTGGTAAGTTATCGAAATAATCGAAAAAACAATCGATTTCTATCGGTTATCCTTTTTCAGATTTGTGTGAAACGCGACGATTGCCAAACCAACGAGGTGACTGCCTTGCTGAACAAATACATTCCGGGTCTTAAGCCGGAATGCGATATCGGCGCTGAATTATCCTACCAATTGCCGGACAGTGCCTCCAGTAAGTTCGAGGATATGTTTGGGGAACTGGAAAAGGAATCGGATGAGCTGCATTTGAATGGTTATGGTGTGGGCATTACCTCGATGGAGGAAGTTTTCATGAAGGTGGGCGCCGAAAAGGATAATACCGGCAATCTCAAGGATCCCAAGGAGATAATGAACGGCGGCACTGGATACCGGGGACCTGGCGACGAGGACAACGAATCTGTACAGTGTAAGCAGTGTTTGAACTCGATCTTGGAATAGCTCCCGATAAGCTCAATTAACTGTTTGCAGCCGATGGCATCTTCTCGGAGAATCGACGTCTCCTCAACGGCCTCCAGCTGCTGTCCAATCAATGGAAGGCCATGCTCCTCAAGAAGTTCCTCTACACGTGGCGCAACAAGTTGCTGCTGCTGATCCAGAACATAATGCCCGTGTTCTTTGTCGTCGTCACCATTTTGATAATCAAAACCCAAGGCACTTTCCAGGAACTGAAACCCATTACGTTCTCCCTGACCCAATACCCTGTGGCTGTTACGGTTCTGGATCGGTCTGAAGCTGTGGCTAATTCTGAAATATACAAGTATTCGAATGCATATGAGTCCTTGTCCAAGTCGTATGGCAATGATTTTGGCTTGGAGTTGACAGGAAATCAGAATTTTACGGTGGGTAGTTGGGAGTGGGAGTTATGTGTTTAAAAACCATTAAATTATCATTTTTATATCTATTATATAGAAATATATCCTGGACCTGGGCGAGACGATCCAAGTGCGAATCAATTCCCGCTACCTTGTGGCCGCCAGCTTCAAAGCCACCAACATCACTGCCTGGCTGAACAATCAGGCCTTGCACACAGCCCCCCTAACGATCAACATGGTGCACAATGCCATTGCCATGACCGTGTCACCGAACATCAGTATAGAGGTGACGAATGCCCCGCTGCCGTACACCACCAGCACCCTGCTCTCCCAACTGAGCACTGGCAATAATCTGGGCACCCAGTTGGCCTCCAATCTGTGCTTCTGCATGTGCTTTGTCAGCTCGATATATATCCTGTTTCTGATCAAGGAGCGAGAGTCGCGAGCCAAACTTCTGCAATTTGTGGGCGGCGTGAAAGTCTGGACGTTCTGGTGTTCGCAATATATTTGTGACTTCGCCACCTATGCAGTTACCGCCCTCATCGTGATCATCACCATTGTCTGCTTCCAGGAGTCGGGATTGTCCACTTTTGGCGAACTGGGACGATACTTTTCCCTGCTCCTACTCTTCGGATTCGCCGTTCTGCCCTTCATCTACATTATGTCCTTGTTCTTCAAGGAACCAGCCACTGGTTTTGCTCGCGTCTCCATCGTTAATATATTCTGTGGCATGGCTCTGTTTATTGTCGTTGTTGTGATGTCATCGGACTTCTTTGATACCAAGGATACCGCGAATATATTGGGCTGGATATTCCGCATCTTCCCGCACTTTTCACTGGCCATGGGACTTAACAAGGTTTACACGAATACGGCGACAAGGAATGCCTGCGCCAAGGTGGGCTCTATACCGCCCATTATTCTTTGTGAATTGGTGCCGCAGTGTTGCAGTAAGTGTTTTATTTTAATACTAATACTTAGAAGTTACATTTAAGTAGTTCTTGATAGACATTTCTAAACTACAAGTAGTCTTAAATAGTATTTTCCTATTTTCGTATAGGGTCCACAGGGATGGCTATATCTTCCCCAATTCTCATCTGATTCTCAAGTGGGTTACCTTAAACGATTTCTAGACCGATTCTCCATCATTCTGCATTAAAATCCTGAGAAAAAATATTTTTTAGATTTTTTGTCCATTTTTCGTGATGGGGTCCCTTGAAAATGCGGTTTTCCACAATAGGGTCCACAGTGATAGCTATATCTTTCCCAATTCTCATCCGATTCTCAAGCGGAGTACCTTAAATGATTTCTAGACCGATTCTCCATAATTCTGCATTAAAGTCCTGAGACAAAATATTTTTTAGATTTTTTGTCCATTTTTCGTGATAGGGTCTCTCGAAAATGGGGTTTCTATTATAGGATGTTGTCTTATGAAAGTTGGTTTGTCGTATTATTTGCCAAAAATAGTATCCATAAAAAAATATATATATTGCCTGTCTGTTAGTTCTTCAAAATATATCTCTTGTTTCGTATCGTATGGCCCACAATCGTGTGGTTCTTACAACCTACAAATATTTATAAATTTTATGACCTTAAATGACCATTTGATTATTTTACTTTCAGATATCAAACCCTATTTTGCCTGGGAGGAGCCTGGAGTCTTGCCAGAAACCGTCTATATGGCCGTCACTGGTGTTGTTTTCTTCTTAATTATCATCGTTCTGGAATTCCGTTTGATCAACGAACTTATCTACAATGTCCGCAAAATTGTTTCGTAAGTTTCTCTGTAACAATTTAATCTTAAATGCAATCTTAACTAATAATATATTTTGTCATTTTAGCAAGCCACCGCCACCACCTCCGGATGGTCATTTGGATGATGACGTGGCTTCTGAGAGGGAACGTATCCTCAATATGAGTTCCAATGAATTGGCAAACAAAAATCTTGTTCTGGATCGTGTCACCAAGTATTATGGTCAATTTTTGGCTGTCAATCAGGTGTCGCTCTGCGTTCAGGAGTGAGTTATTATTTAATAAATATTTTGTTTGTAAATAGGTAGCATGGGTCATACTCGTAAGAGTAATTTTTTTTTGAGTGCAAGCCAGAAACTAATTTTTCCAAATATCTATGCACATTTTTGTACAAAGATCTTGAATCATGTTCATAGGGAATTTATCTAAAAATTTTATAAGGTATACGTTTAAGAGATTTGGCCAAATATATAGCCTTCGAAGTGGGTCGTATTTTGGGGTATTATGCTTTCTAAAAAAAAAAATCATAAAAAATATTTATAATTGTTGTTGACAGGGAATGGTTATATGAATCTTTTAAGGTATTCCACTCAAGGATCGGATACATATAGTCAGAGATCTCCATCAGAGACAAAGCCTTTGCAGTGGACCGTATGATGTCCCAATGGTTTTCTTAAATTTTCAGACCAAAAAAAAAATAACAAAAAATTCCTATCCTAGGTTTGATGCAGAATCGTGAAGAATTAAGTTTAGAATTTTAGAAGGCATTCCGTTTAAGGATCAGATGAATACTGGCAAAGATATAGACTCCTCAGTGGGCCATATAAGGCATCCACATTGTTTTCTTAGATTTTCAAAAGGGGTTTCCCTAGAAAAATGGACCAAAAATGGAACCATAAATTCATTCCCACATTTTTATGCATTTTAAAAAAGAATTTATCTGAGAATCTTTTAAGGTATTCCTTTTAAAGCTCGTTAGGTAAATACTAATGATATAGCCTTTCCAATAGGCCATAATTTCTATTATTTTTAAAAGGCTCATTATAAAAATTCGACAAAAAATCAGTAAAAACTTTCTTTGAAATAATTGATAGTTGATTGATGGGGAAGAGATAAAAAAATTTTGTAAAGCATTCCTTTTACATATCCCACAAGAACTGACTGAGATATACCCTTTATAGAATCCTTTAATTTCCTTATTTTAATTCCATTAATAATCAAACATATTTTATTCTTTCAGAGTCGAATGCTTTGGGCTGTTGGGCGTGAACGGTGCCGGCAAGACGACCACCTTCAAGATGATGACTGGCGACGAGCGTATTAGCTCCGGATCGGCCTATGTCCAGGGTATGAGCCTGGAATCGAACATGAACAGCATTTACAAGATGATCGGCTACTGTCCGCAGTTCGACGCTCTGCTCGACGATCTGACGGGCAGGGAGATGTTACGGATATTCTGTATGTTGCGCGGCGTCCAAGAGTCCAGGATTAAACAGCTATCCGAGGATCTGGCCAAGTCCTTTGGCTTCATGAAGCACATCGATAAGAGGACGCATGCCTACAGTGGCGGAAATAAGCGTAAACTGAGTACAGCCATTGCCGTAATTGGCAGTCCGTCCGTAATCTATTTGGATGAACCCACCACGGGCATGGATCCCGCCGCCCGACGTCAGCTATGGAACATGGTCTGCCGCATCCGGGACTCGGGCAAGTCCATCGTCCTCACCTCCCACAGTATGGAGGAGTGCGAGGCGCTGTGCACGCGACTAGCCATCATGGTGAATGGAGAGTTCAAGTGCATCGGTTCCACGCAGCATTTGAAGAACAAGTTCTCCAAGGGACTGATCCTGAAGATCAAGGTGCGCCGAAATCTGGATGCAGTGCGTCAGACGCGCTTGAGTGCCGGCGGTGTCACAGGTAATGGTAGTGCCTTCCAGGTGAGGAACGATGATGAGGTGACGGTGCCCGTCCAGATGGCACAGCAGGAGATCGATGCCGTCAAGGAGTTTGTGGAGCGCGAGTATCCGCACTCGATACTACAGTGAGTTTTTGAATTAATATATGTAGTTTTAGTTTATGAAAGTAATATTAGTATATCTATTATTTATTTTATTTTATTTTATTAAGGCATTTAAAACATATATTTTAAAGAAGTATATTTATTGAATCAAATTATACATATCAGATATTTTTTTATGTTAGATGTTTTTTCTTCACTGGAACTTAACCTCAGATACTGACTAAAAAAGATATATTCGAAGTGAAAGAAGTTGAAAAATAGTTTTTAATGTAAATATACATATATTATCATATAATGTATATAAAATAACATAATTTAAGCCTTTCGGAAATTTTATTATAGATATAGATTCCTGGAAAAAGAAAAATTTATATAGGAAATAAAAGAAGTTTATACAATAGTTTTTAATGTTAATATTTATATATGGTCATATGGATATAGAACCATTCATAATTTTAGCCTTTGAAATTCCAAAAACCGGAATTATATCGGAAGTAAAACATATTTAAAGAGGCTTCTGTTTAAAGGCTTTCGTCACTCGAATTTTACCCTAGATATTGATTCCGATGTTAGCACAGATATATGTATATATGAAATAAGTCAACAAATAAATTTTAATAAGTTAATAAGTTTTGATTAATATTAAAACAAATATATTTTTGATTGCAAGGGCTTTTGGCTTTCGTTTCGCTTTAGCAGCCAAGAAGCCTCTACAAATTAATTTCCTTAAAAACTGAAAAATAAATAAACTTTTCCATATTTTATTTTCCAGAGAGGAGTACCAGGGCATTTTGACGTTCTACATTCCCCTGACGGGGGTGAAATGGTCCCGGATCTTCGGCCTGATGGAGAGCAATCGCGACGAGCTGAACGTGGAGGACTACTCGGTGAGCCAGACGACGCTGGAGGAGATCTTCCTGGAGTTTGCCAAGTACCAGCGCGAGGATACGCGAGCCAACCAGTGAGCCAAACGTAGTAGCCAATCCCCAAAAGACACAAAACACCCAAAAACCAGTTGCTAATCCCAATCAGCAAACAAAACACTGACACTTTGGCTTCTGTAATGGGCTTAAATTTGGCATAATTTTTGGCTTTTAATTGCGGATACATTTTTTTGGATTTTACGGATTTATTGGATTTTTTTTGGCTTAGAACATCGCATCACATTGCCATCACATCTAACTTTGCAGAACATCACCAAGAAGCACTCAAAAAAAGCACTATTCTTCAACATGTGACATTTTTTAAAAGCTATTTTTTTGTTGTGTAGTTTTTTTTTTTTATTAATATAATTATTATATTTGATATAATAATTTTTTTGTAGGCCTCATATTGCTAACCTGCGCTATTTTTCTGCACACACTGTAGTTTCTTAGAAGAGCTAACTAACTAATTGTAAATACTAACCTTGTTTTTTAAAACCCCATTTTTTTTAAATGTATGAACTAATTTTAATTGAGCTATATTTGCTTTTTCCTCCTCGCCCCCCAAATAAATAATTAATAGGCAACCGTATGATGTGAAAAGGCTGTGCAAGTGCCTGCTAGCAAATGAGTATTGAAACCTGAAACAACTACCTGATAGGATACTAATTCTGATCCTGACCTCAACTCAAAGCACATACGCATAGAGAAAAACCAGATTATATATATAAAAAATTATAGTACTTAAAAACTACAAGTTTTTATACAAAAAAACGCTACACAAACAACACACAAAATAATATAAGATCGACCAGACAATAGGTAGATGCTTTTATGCCTTATTTCATTGTGATCATCTAGTGAAACGTACACTGTAAAAAAAAAGAGATCTATTTATATATATTTGTATGTATATTTGCTTGATCTGCACCTTAAGTTCCAGTGATTTAATTTTTTTTTTAACTTCATTCATAAGCATAAAGAAAAAAACGATATAAACTACAAAGAGTATTGGCCAAAAAATAAATAAAGAAAATATATATATTTTGGTCGAAGAAACTATTCCCAGCGCCGACAAGAAACTTTTTTCATATAAACGATATACCATAATAATAATAGTAATTGTATTTATTTCGATGTACTTAGAAAATCTAACCAAAGCATTAAATGTAAATAAGACAATTTTAAACTGTGGCACAAACTAAAACTCTACGATACATATGAGAATTTACAAATTATGTTAAATGTATACTTTACGATTGAAATTAAATTTTATCTGTATGTAAAAAAAAACCAATGTGTGTTTTTTTGAGCGGAAATAGCGGAGCGGAGCCGTACCTTCTACGATATTTTTTGGAAAATATTTTTCAGGATCCTAATAATTGTTTCTAAAGTCGAGTTTTGTGAAAAGTTTCTTCCAAATTTACCTTAATTTGTAAGTTGAGTATTGTGATTCATTTGATTGTTCATCATGGTGAGTTTTGAAAAAAAATAAACTGAAACAAATAGAAATTTCTATCCACGCCAAGAACCCATACACCAAGGAGACTGTGACCAAGGCCCTGGAGAACCCGAGCATGGAGCGCAATAGGTTCCAGGCCCAGCACCTGCAGGAAGCGGCACTCCTGCCCTTTGGACGTCCCCTGGTCATATAACTGGCCCTATGCCTCGTAAGCTTGGCCCTTTACCTGGCTTCCTGGTCCTACGAGCTACCTAAGCTCTCCGAGGCGATGGTCTAGAACTGCCCGGAGCACATCCGCGCCTTCCTCGGAGGGTGCGTCCCGATAGGAAGTCTTCCATCCAGCGCCACCTCAGGGAACATGCCCCCCACGTGGTGACCCTCATGGGGAAGTTGCTGGGCAATCGATCGAAGGTGGAGTTCCAGCTCGTAATGTGGAGGAGGAATGGGGCTTTGGCTGGTGGGTCAATCCTAATCCTTTTGTTTTTCTTATAGTTTCATCACCAATTGTACATTTCTAAATTATTTAATTTTTAGAAATTTACATTTCTAAAAAATGGGTGTCTAATCCAATCGGAAATATAAATTCTTTTGATAGGATTGTTTATGTGTTGTTTATACCCGGTGCTAGTTAAGTTAAATTACTTTTTATAAAAAATCCCTAACAGAGTAAACATCCAGTGACGACTGCCTCTACATAAAAAGAAGCTTCTCAATTTGTAATAATTTTCCCATGAAACTGGCTTCCAATAGTACAAGGCTTAGGGATAAGGAATCGGTCTCCCGCATCTATATTATTCCATGGGAAATTCTTGAAAAATATTTGGGTATGTTACCCGGTACTTTAGGTGCCGTAGTCTTACAAAGAAACTCTTCAAACAGCTTAAAAACTGGTGACGAATGGACTGTAAGGACTTTAAAGTCAAAAGCTTTTCATATTGATATTTAAAATTATTACCATTTTAATATTTTATTGAAACTGGTTTATAAAAATATGACGAAATCACTTAAATATCAAAAGCTAATATATATGAAGAAACAAACTGAAACTGCGTGGGAGTCTTAACTGCGTGCCAAATCCTATAGATCGGACAGATAGGCAGACAGACATGGCTATATCGACTCGGCTGTTGATGCAGATCAAGAATATATACTTTATTTGGTGTACTAGGCTGATTATAATTCATTGAAATCTATTTGAAAATTAATTTCCATTTTGGGAATATGTATATTAGTATGTATATAATTAATAATAAAGAGTTAATTGCATATACATATGTACAAATATATGTATATATTGCCTCAATATATATCAAGAAGAAGAAGCTAAGAACATAAGCAAGGTCTTGTTGTAATCACCTCATTCTAATCTCCAATAACCTGTGACAGCCCTTCCGTACGCATTCTGTCTGTGAAATATTTTGGCTTTTCTATATGTATGGGTATGTCCCAATTTCTTATTAGAAACTCTGAAGCTCAGTCTCAAGCTCAAGCTCATGGGCGAGGACGGCTTTAAAAAGCCGGAGCTCCAATAGTCGCAGCATCAGTTGAAATATTCCCAGAGACTCTTTCAGTAGAAATTTCAGTTCGATAGAAAAGGTATAGGATGATTCTCCCCGTGGCCCTCCTTTCTGCATGTTTCCTAATTTCTGCCTCCCTGGGATCGGAAGTAGTACCGGAAGAAGAGGTTCCAACAACTCCACTCCCAAATATTAATAATCAGACGTCGTCGAAAACAGAAACCATAGGTAAGTCGGCAGAAAACAATATTTTGAAAATGAATACATCCATTTTTTTCAGATTTTCCAGATCCTTGCTCACAAGGCCATTATGATTATTTAGTCCTCCGCGAAATGCAACTACCAGGCTTAGACCCGTTCAAAGTAGTTTGTTTTTCACATTTGGATGAGGGGATATCTGGATGGTTGAATGTTTATTATAATAGACATTCTGACAAACCAATATTTAATCGCACGTATGAGGATTATGAACGTGGATTCGGCAATGTCGATATTAATTATTTCGATGAGTTCTTCATTGGACTCAATCGGTTGCACCATCTGACCAGTGGAAAGCCTTTTAAAGTGATTTTAAACACCCATCCGGGGACAAGAATATGCGACCACTTTGTTGTGGGCGATCGTAGCGAAGGTTACAAGGTGAAAAATATTGGAAATTGCACTGGAGAAGACGTATGGATCCTCCCTAAGCAGGGCACCAAATTTTCCACCTTCGATCAAGATGAGGATGGAGTTCCTGATCGTAATTTGGCGAAGGAAGAGGGCTATGGCTGGTGGTTCGATCCCAGTATGAGGTGTGTATTCCAAACATGCATTTTTCTTTCGTTTCATATCCAGCTGGAAAACTTTCTAAAATAACTAACTTGAAATAATTTTTAAATTCTTTTTTTTTTATTTCTGGATCTATTAGGCCCGAAAGGTATTCCATAGGCGTGTACATCAAAAGAACAGATTGAAGAAAAAAAAAGCTCTTAATCTTAATATGCACTAAAATGTAATTATATTATATTTCTAATATTATGAAGACAATGATTATATAAACTGTAATTTTCTATTTTTTAACTTTTGAATAAAATAAACAATTAAAATATGTAAAAAATAATCGAAAATAGTTGTTGTCACTGAAAGTACTTGCATGTTGATAGAAAATAAAGAAAATATAACTTTATGGGGTCGGAGATGATAGTTATATACATTCACACGAATACAATATACCCTTGAAGTTTAGGAGTACTAGGTATAAAAATCGGCGACGAATAGCAAATGCTTCCGATATCAATATTAAGATTAAACATGTTTATAATGACATATATTTTAGAAAAGAGAAAGTGGTTCCCAACTCAGGACATATAAGTTCCAACCCCCAGGTTGGGGGTAGTCCAAGCCCTAGCAGGGATTTAAGCAGATTCCAGATACTAACTAGGTTGACAGAATCAAACTAAACTATTTCTACGATACATATGATTTCTACGATACACTTTATTTGTATGTAAAAACAAAAAGTGTTTTTCAGGCGGAAATAATTTAAAAAAGTAGCCATTGATTTTTAAATCTGGTCCAAGTGCCTGGAGCGTTTCTGAAAATTTTCATTCTGTGTTTTTATCTCACAACGAGCACTAGCTTCTACTCCCAGTATTTTTTGGAAAATATTTTTCAGGAGTCTAATAATTTTTCTTAAAATATAAGCAGACGTGTTTTGTGAAAAGTTTCTTCCAAATTTAATTTAATTTGATATTTCACATCATGGTGAGTTTTTGAAAAAAATATCTAAAATGAAAAAAATATAAATTTCTATACAGATTTCGGCGAACTGCAACCACAAGAGAGGGACGAACCCCTACACCAAGGAGTCTGTGACCAAGACCCTGGTGACCCCGATCATATGGCCCAATTCGCGTAGGGAAATGTTTCTAAGACGCTTCCAGGAATCTCGGCATGCGTGGCCGGTCCTGAACGAGATCCTGGCAGACGTGGAGTGTCAGCCCATGCACGTGCTCATATTCGCTGCCTCCACTATCCACTTCAAGATCAAGCGAGAGGCACACATCCTGACCCCGGAAAGCGTCCTTGAGCTGAAGAGCTGCCTGACCAAGCACCTGCAGGAAGCGGCACTCCTGCCTTTTGGAAGAACCCTGGTCAAACAGCTCGCCCTATGCCTCGTGCGCTTGGGCCTATACTTTGCAACCTGGTGTCACGAGCTACCTGAGCTCTCCGAGGCGATGGTCCAGAACTGCCCGGAGCACATCCGCGCCTTCCTCGAGCTCCTGGAGCTGCTGCCCGGGGAGGCCCGCGATTTTATCCGAAGAGTGCGTCCCGATCGGGAGTATTTCATCCAGCTCCACCTTAGGGAACATGCCCGCCACGTGGTGACCCTCATGGGGCAGCTGCTCGATAATGAGAACATCGGACTCGAGGGCGAAAAGCAGTGCCTCAAGGTAGGGATCCAACTTCTATTCCTTTTCTTCCAATAATCCTTCTCTTCCGCCTGGAGGTGTGCACCGCCTGGACCCATTATGGGTTCATGAGTGCGAAGGACCTGATCTACAGCCGTGTGCTCCTACGAGTGAACCTCATTGTGTGTCACGAGGAAGTGCATATCCACGCAGAAGCCTGCAGAGTAGTGGTGGCTATACTAAAGTCTGCCTACATCTTCCGCCAACTCGAGGTGGAAATTTTAGAAATGGGTCATAGCCTGGAGGACAAGTACTTGAGGGCGGTGGCTGAAAACAAGAGGGCCCTCGTGGCCAACTACGCGGCCGTATTCCTGCAGCTGGCTTCCATGACCTTGATGACGGCTCGGGGCACCCACACTTTTCAAGTGGAAGAATTCGGGAAATTTACTTTCCGGATGCTGCTCCAGGTGACGAGGTATGGCGAGTGGTCCGCCGTGGAGCTGGCCATGAAGATCTGGCAGAAACTCATGCGCGAGCTAAACCATTTTAGGAGGGTCTCCGCCTTTGAGCCTCTCCTGTATGATCTGATGGGGGTCCTCTTCGAGCGCATCCAGCTGCGCGACTGCCACCAACACTCTGGCCTGCACCACCGTACCCGATTTGCGGGTTTCCGCAGACGTGTCGACGAAACCGTGAGGGTCATGGCTCAGCTAGTTACCCCCATCATCATGGAGAGCTTCTGGTCCACCGCCCAGAACCCAGCGAGTCCCTGGATGCAGGTGGAGGCAGCCGCCTTCTTTCTCATCCCGTTTATTAACGGCTACACTATCTTGAAGGTCTCCTTCTACGAGCGTCTTCTCGAAATCCTCTCGGAGCGTCCCCAGAACATCTTCCGCGGGATAGAGCGCCGTATCCAGAAGAAAATCCGAAAGCAAGCCCTAGTTATCTCGAACGAATCCAACTGTCCATCCTGCTAAAGGCTCAGTGATCCTCGGAGATCGATCCAAATTTTTGGTGCTTTTAATTTGAGAATTTTAAAATTGTTGGCTTCTCCCTTCGGCTTTTTAGTTTTCAAATTAGCGGTTTCACCAAATAGGCTATTTTCCGACTAAATTTTTCAAATTATTTTGTAATCAAAACGAATAAACTTTTTGGTATATATTATACATATCTTATTTATTTATTTTATTTATTTATTTTTGGTATAGTCTGCTGCATCCTTTTGGTGGGACTCCCCTAATTATCGATAGATTCTAGGGATACTATCCGGCTGAGAAAAACAGCGATATTCGATATTATCGTAGGTGGGATATGTTTTAAAACTCTCGGTCTACTCTCGATGATAGAAATCTGTTTACTACTATTTCACAACCTCTATTAAAAATTTGAATTAAAAAATTTTTTAAAAGTCAATATAATGATTTGTTAAGCGTTTTTATATATTTATGCATTTAAGCCAGACTGTAATCTGTAAATTATGAATTTTTGCATTCAAACACAAGTATTTGAGTTATAAATATGTAAAATATCAAAATGTATGTATTTCAATATAAAATTATATAATAAAAGAATCAGAGATAGATACTTTAATGACGCCAAGAAGTAAAAAAATTTTCTTTAAATTTAAATTGAAAAATATTAGTATAGTATATTTTTACAAAGAATTTTTTTAAGTAAAAATATGTTTTAATTATTTTATTAGGGTTAATTGTAATTCATTTTGTGAAAAGAATTTTAAAAATGAAGCTTATGGATTTAGGACACTGTTTTTTATAGGTCACTTTTTGAGACAGTATTTTTTTTATGGATAAAGTCCTCTCCTTTGCTAGAAGAGTACATTTTTTTTTCAACACCTTGCTTTCAGTCAAAACTGATCAAGGAATTTTTTATTAATCTGCGAAAAGTATGACAAAGATATTACAGGAGTTCTTGTAATTATTCCGCAATTTTCCGATAATAACTTTCAATTATTGTAGCGAGGATCCTCAAATTCCCGATCATAAACATAAATTTCCAGACCCATACGCATATTCCGAGTGATGAAGTAATCCTCGATGTTCATTTCAAAAGCATCCTTGCGAAGGATCAAAAATATTTCGGAAAATGATGTTGAGCCCAGTGGCATTTGGAAAACCATAGAGTCTTCTTTTTCACGCCTGAAGGATATGTATAATAAATTAGGATATTATAATATTATAAGTATTAAAAAAAAACATACTTGAGAACGGCGTAAGGAAATTTAATTTCCATAAAGGCGCTAAACTTTTTCTGAGGCGACATGGGGAAGTGATTGATTCGATTCCAGGTTGTCCTGGACATGCTGACATTCGGGTTGACCTTTCGCTTGAATCTAACCTCCAGTTGGTAGCCAGCCTGGTAGTTTCGATGGACCTCGTCGAAGGACCCCACCATCCACAGCTGACCGGACACCAGGATTGGAGTACGTTGACACAATCGTTCCGCATCCAAATTATTCAGGTGAGTGTACACGAAACTGCATCCCCGTGATTGCATTTGTGAGGTGACCGTGAAGACGGTCCTCTTCCCGGTGGGATCTAAGCCCGCCGGTACACCATCAACTAGAACGAGCTTTGGAGAGCCCAGTACAGCCACTCCAAATAATAGACGACGACTCTGTCCAGTGGTACACTGACCAACCGATTGGTTCCAACAGGGTGTAAGGGCCAGCATTCGCAGCAAAGAATCAGCTAGTTCCTGGGCCATGCTCCTGCGATGTCCCTGCATCAGGGCCATAATAAGCAACAATTCCCGGGGCGTATACTCCGAGGGCAGGGTGTCCCATTGGGGACAGTACCCGATGAGGCGGTAGCACTTCAAGCGCTGTCTCTCCATCGAATGGCCGCAGATCCAGATCCGACCACTCTTGATCTTGGTCTCACCCACTAGCACTTTCAATAGGGTGGACTTGCCAGAGTTATTAGATCCTGATATGTTAACGCATTCTTTTCTAGATTTTTGGGAGGTTTTTGGTATATTTTAGTACTATATTAAATAGGGTATTGGTTACTGATGATGAGTTTTATATAAAAAGGTGTCTAATCCTATACAAACTGAAACTGCGTGGAAGTCTTTATGCCAAATCATATAGCTCGGACAGATGGGCAGACAGACATGGCTATATCGACTTGGCTGATGATGCAGATCAAGAATATATACTTTATTTGGTGTGATAATAATTCATTGAAATCTATTTAAAAATTAAATTCCATTTTGGAAATATGTATATTAGTATGTATATAATTAATAATATAAAATAAAAAAGAGTTTATTCCATATACATATACATACATGTATATACATGTATATGTATATAGCCTCAATATATTTTATGAAGAAGAAGCTAAGAACATGAGCTAGGTCTTGTTGCTAATCACCTCTCTTTAATCTCCAATAACCTGTGACAGCCCTTCCGTACGCATTCTGTCTGTGGAATATTTTGGCTTTTTTTTATATGTATGGGTACTTCTCAATTTCTTATCAGAAACTAAAGCTCAAGCTCATGGCCGAGGATGGCTTTAAATAGCCGGAGCTCCAAGACTCGCAGCATTAGTTGAAATATTCCCAGAGCCTCTTTCAGTAGAAAGTTCCGTTCAATTAAAAAATACAAGATGATCTTCCCAGTGGCCCTCCTTGCTGCCTTTATCCTTTTTCCTGTCACCCTCGGATCGGAAGAAGTAAGTAATAGACTCATTGAGTGTTTTATTTTGAGAAGTAATTTAAATTCAAAACGTACAACTATTCTTCGAGAAGTGCCACAAAAATGATGCAGAGCTCTTAAAGTGCCAGACAGATTTGCAGAACGAGCGTCTTGAAAAATATGCCCAAATATCAAAATGCCAAAAGGATTATACGGACTTGGTGAAATCGAATTTGGAAATGCAAAATAAATATACGGAAGTGTTGAGTCAGCTTATGGATGAGAAAGTTAAATATGCGCAGTTGCATTCGAAGCAGTTGGAAGTTGACAATCTAATAATACAGAAAAATAAGGAAATCCACCTCCTAAAAGATCAAAATAGGAACCTAAAGAAAACAAGTGAACTTTCAACGTTAACTAAACAGTTCCGCGAAGACATTGCCAAGTTGGGAAAAATAGTAAAAATGGGAGGATCGGATAAACATAGTCCAACAGAGTCGAATAATAAAACAACAAATGTGGAGGTTGAAGATGAAGAGGTTCCAACAACTCCACTGCCTAACAACTCAACAACTCCACTCCCAAATATTAATAATCAGACGACGTCGAAAACAGAAACCATAGGTAAGTCGGCAGAACATAATAATTTGCAAAATAAAAAAACGAATTTTCAGATTTTCCAGATCCTTGTCCACGAAAGCAAAATGGAGACGTAGTCCTCCGCGAAATCCAACTTCCAGGCTCAGACCCTTTTACAGTGGCATGTGGGGCATATTCGGATATTGGATATGGATGGTTGCATGTTTATAGAAAACATTTTTATTTACGATCATCAAATCGCGCATATGCTGATTATGAACGTGGATTCGGAGATTTAAAAGACCAGTATGAAATGGAGTACCATATTGGACTCAATCGATTGCACTATTTTACCAGTGGAAATCCTTTTGAAGTGATTATATGGACCACTTGGGCGATTAAAAAATGCACCAACTTCGTTGTGGGCGATCAAAGCGAAGGATACAAGGTAAAAAGTATTAGCAATTGTACTGGAATAGATGCATGGATGACCCCTAAACAGGGCTACAAATTTTCTTCCTTCGACCGAGATGAGGATGGAGTTCCTGATCGTAATTTGGCGGAGGAAATGCACTTTGGCTGGTGGTTCGATCCTGGTATGAGGTGAGTCTTCTAATTTGGGTTTTTGAAATAACTAAATTGAAATAATTCTTAAATTCTATTTTTTCATTTTTGGATGTATTAGGCCTGATAATGATATCATTTACGTGTACATCCGAAGAACAGATTGCGAATAAAAAGAGTCTTTTAAAAACGGACTTTGAAAATGAATCATTTTTGGAAAATAAATGAAATCTTAATATGCACTAAAATGTAATTACATTATTTCTAATATTATGAAGACGATTATAATATTATCCGAATTTTGAATAAAATAAACAAATAAAACATGTCATTTAAAATATTTGTTTTTACTGGAAAAAGATTATGGATGGTCGGAAACCAAAATTTTGAATTTCAGAAATTTCAGGGCTGATCCTGTACGAAGTCATGTGAAATATATATAAACAATCGACCATGGTTCAGTTGCGAAAAGTGGCTAAAAAAGTTGGCTACCATTTGGAGAATGATTTCCTTTGGACGTTAGCCGCTCTTAAAGTTTAAACTTTAACGATATGTTTAATGCGAAAAAAACGAAAAAAAAAAATATGTGCTTGCGAAAAAAACAAGAAGCCTTCCTACGTCAATACTACCGATTTAGTAGGGAAGCAGAATAAAAAGCCTATAACTTTTTTAAAAATGAACAGATTTTTGGATGTATGGGCAGTGTAGGTGTAGTACCGTTTTTTGTTGCCCGTTTGTATCGATATTTATATACATATATGTATATGAGTATATCTCTCCTGTAAAAATCATATATAAATTAATTTCGCAAATAGTTTGGCATCAAAAGCTAAAAAAAAAATGGGGGCGGGATGAAGCGTGGAACTGCTTGGGTAGTATAGGAGTCTCCATGCCAAATCCTATAGCTCGGACAAATGGACAGACGAACATGGCTATATCGACTCAGCCTTATTGGCTGATTAAAACTTGAGATACCCTAAGCTCAAGTTGTTTCGAGAAACCCGGTCTACTGCCACGAAAGTAAAGCGGCCCTCACTTTGAAAATAATTTTGTTATTAAAAACCCTTCTAGAGAGATATTCCAGAACATCTTAACTAAAGGATTATGAAAAAAATTCCCGATTTTATAAATTTCTTAGACTAGAAGAACCTCTCTAGTGCGACACGCATTTGTTAGAGATAAGGCTACTAATGAGTCATTGAAATATATTATAATATATTATATATATATATATAAATATATTATACATATATAATAAATAATATAAAATAAAAAATAATTAACTGCATAAACATTAATACAAATGTATGTACATATAGGCTCTATATATTTTAAGAAGAAGAAGCTAAGAACATAAGCCAGGTCTAATCACCTCATTCTAATCTCCAATAACCTTTGACAGCCCTTCCGTACGAATTCTGTCTGTGGAATATTTTGGCTTTTCTATATGTATGGGTATGTCCCAATTTCTTATCAGAAACTCTAAAGCTCAGTCTCAAGCTCAAGCTCATGGGCGAGGACGGCTTTAAAAAGCCGGAGCTCCAAGACTCGTAGCATCAGTTGAAGTATTCCCAGAGACTCTTTCAGTAGAAATTTCAGTTCGATAGCAAAAGTATAAGATGATTCTCCCCGTGGCCCTCCTTTCTGCATGTTTCCTAATTTCTGCCTCCCTGGGATCGGAAGAAATATCGGAAGAAGAAGTTCCACTGCCTAATATTAATAATTTGACGACGTCGAAAACTCAAACCATAGGTAAGTCAGCAGAACCCAATCACTTGCAAAATAATACATCCATTTTTTCAGATTTACCAGATCCTTGTCCACGAAACCAAAGTGAAAGCAGGGTCCTTCGCGAAATCATACTTCCAGGCTCAGACCCGTTTAAATCGGTTTGTGTGTCATATTTTTTAATAGGATCTGGATGGTTAATTGTTTATAGAAAAAATGATTCACAAACATTTAATCGGACGTTTGATGATTATGAACGTGGATTCGGAGATGTAGGAACTGCGTTGCGCGATGAGTTCTTTATTGGACTCAATCAATTGCACCATCTGACCAGTGGAAAGCCTCATCAAGTGCTTTTATCCACCAGAGGGAGTCTAAGGAGATGCGACCACTTTGTTGTGGGCGACCGAAGCGAAGGTTACAAGGTGAAAAGTATTGGCAATTGTATAGAAGACGATGTATGGATGATCCCTAAGCAGGGCTCTAAATTTTCCACATTCGATCGGGATGAGGATGGAGTTCCTGATCGTAATTTGGCGAAGGAAGAGGGATATGGCTGGTGGTTCGATCCTGACATGAGGTGTGTATTCTAATTTGGTTTTTCTTTTGTTTTATCTCATACTGGAAAACTTTCAAAAATAACTAACTCGAAATCATTTTTAAATTCAATTTTCATTGCTGGATCTAAAAGCTTAAAAAGTCATAGAATAAACATCTACATCCGAAGAGCAGATTGAAGAAAACAAAAAGCCTTTTAAAAACGGACTTGGAAAGTGAAACATTTTTGGAAATTTTACTGAAATGCAATTACATTATTTCTAATATTATGGAGACGAAAATTAGATAAACTGTACTCTTCTAATTTATAACTTTTGAATAAAATAAACAAATAAAATATGTATTTGAAAATAATTGTTTTCTCTGGAAAAAGTTTGAGGAGGTGGGAAAGCAAAATTTTGAATTTTACAAATTTCAGGATCACCCCAACGAAATTAACTATATAACCTCCTATATCTCAATGCCTTCAAGGCATAAAATCATAAAATTTGGTACTCTATAGACATACTCACTTTTCCACATAGAAATCCAAATTATTGAGAATGTCAACATTACGCTTCTTGGCATAAATACCCAACAGGACGGCGGCATGATCGGGCCTCGACCTCGACGGTATCCGACTAATCCGATGGCGTTCGGTCTGAACTGGTGTATCTGCCGTTGGCATGGACACATGACTGCGAATCAGCCAGCTATTGGCCATTTCCTCACCACCGGGTAGATGAATTGTATTTTTGGTACCACTGCGACAGCATCCAAAGCCCATCATCGAATAAAATTCAATGAGGAACAATGCAATAGCGACGAAGAACAAGTGACATGCCAGCACAATATACAAATTAGTAAGTCCACTAGTCGGGCCAGTAAAGCTTATTTCATCTATAATTGGATAAAACAAGAAAAGTAAATTAAAAATAAAAAAATCATCAAAAATAAATTAAGAACTCAACTGCAACAACTGGGCACCGACTTGCAACTATAGACCACTTTTGAGGCAAACTTAACGGAATCATCGGAGCATATTATCGAGTGTTCGAGTGTTTGGAAAAGTATAAAAATGATTTCAGCCACGACATAGAATGCAAATATTTGCAATGAAGTTGAAGGTTCGATGATGGTATGGGTGTAAACCAAAGTAAAGCATACTACCCCCAGGCTGGACAAACAGCATAGACCCATGTAGCCCAAGCAGGGATTCGAGCAGATGGCAGATACTAAATAGGTTGAAAAAATCAACCATAAGCAGCCCATGACGAAGACCAGCATGAAGAAAACTGAGAAAAGAAAGAAAAGTAAAATAAAATATGGAAAAATTAATATCATTAAATTATTAAACATTATATTCACAGAAATTTAAGTTAATTACCCACTTATTTATTTAAAAATCGACAAATATTGATAAATTTTAGCTTATGGTTTCTTATTATTCAAAGTATATTATTTTTTTTATATTTTCTAATGTTTTTAAAAATTTAAAGTAATTTTAATGAAGCATATAGCTTAATTCAAGGAATTACTTTACACAATTACCGTCTTTTAAGTTAAAAAAGAGATTTAAATAATTTTAAAATTGTAATTCTTGTTTGAAAATATAAAAAAAAACTCATTTTATTTCTTAAGTAAAACATAATTGATAAATCCGCGATAGTTACATAAAAAATATATAAAATTAAAAAAAAATTAATTTTTAAGTAAAAGTAAACCTAATAAAACCGTTAAAATATCGTTAGAATGGCTTGCACTTACAGTAAAAGGAGAGATTATGAATAGGATGCATGTACATGGATACCATGGCCAGCAAGACCAATGTATGAAAAGACAGAAGCATCCCATCGTACAGAAAAGTGTAAGTCCAATATGTACAAAATTTGGCGCCGGCTAGAAATTGTTGTCTTTTCATTGAACTACAACTTTCCCGAATCAGATAAATGGACAAAGCTGGCCAAATGAAGCCCAGAAGAAAGCACACATTAATGGCCAAGATACTGCCCACGCCATGAGAGCCGGGTGGAAAAGTATCGACTTTTGTGGCAAATCTTAGGGGTTTCAGAGTGACATCGATGGTGGCTTCTTCGTCGAAAAAGTGTCTGAAAATAAAAGGGGTTTTTTTAAAGAAACAATTATCTCAAAAAACAAACTCCATTACCTGGCCACTGCATTGTGGACAACATTTAGAGCAAATGGCGCAGCATGAAGTGGAATATTATTGAACCAGGCGGTCACCAGTTCGCGGTCAAAGGTAGCTCCAAACATGTACTTGTAGTTGACATTGGTAGTCAGTTCCGAGTTATTCATTAGGGCATATTTTTCATAATCAGCCTTGCCCAAATTCAGGACATTGGCATCGTACCAGTAAAGTAATTCCCTATAATAGGCATGCATATCGACGGAGGCTTTATCGCTCGAGAAGAGTTCAGCGAAAGCATCAATAGCTGGTAACTGACTGAGGTTATAGGTCATTGGGATCAGTTCATAATTCTTGCCATAAATAAAGGTACCGGCAAAAGTGCACAAGAAGGCGACCAACACCCCGATGAGTTCAAAGATTTTCACGATCCAATGACGTTTCGCTAAAATCCAACGTTTCATAAAAAGAGCTCTGCGATGGAAATGAATTATTTATGATCCTTATGATAACACTCTTTTATAGTCTGACCTGCATTGTAGAAAACCCAACCTTATGCCCTTGCGTTTACCCTTTCGGTCCGCCTCATCCAATGTCGCATAATATTCATCCACCAGGGTGTTTGGATTATCCAACGACTGGGTACCGCCCATCGGATCATTTTCCTCGCATCCAAATCTCAGGAATATCTCCTCCATTGAGGTATCTCTTATCCGGAAACTAACCACATCTAGTCTCTCCATATTGTCTTCCAGATCGTCGATGAGAAATGGGAACTGATCCTCGTATTTATTCTCCAAAACAAAAGTTATTTTGTAGCCAATGTTTGTTTCAATCGTTAGATTTGGCATATATTTGCCCATCAAGGCATTAAGTTCTCTAATTTTACAATGTCGGCCTTTTACGCAGGTCTAGATAGGAGGGTTTGTTAATAAAATAGTTTAGGTAATATTAACTTAAATGTTTTAAATCTAATATCTAAAAACCAACACTCACCAATCTATAACCATGACCATACATATTCTTCAAAAATGGTTTAGTTCCCGTACATTTGAGTTCTCCATTGGACATAATGGCCATACGATCGGCTATATTTTCGGCCAATACCGGTGAGTTCGAGACCAGAATAATGGTCCTTCGAGACTTCTCCTCGTTGATCAGGCCCCAAACCAGATTCTGGGAGGCCTTGTCCAGGTCCGAGTGTATATCATCGATCAGAATAATGGGACTATGTCCCACAAAAGCACCACAAATACAGACCAAGCACATATCACGAGGCGTCAGATTTCGTAGACGTTTATTTTTCAGAGCATCCAGTTGCAGAGTGGACATGTAGAAGTTAACCTGCTCATCGATTTCCGTGGAACTGTGCATTCCCTTCACACGGCAAACAAATCTCAAATTATCCATGACAGTGAGACTGGAGAGAAGAACTTCACTGTTGAAGGCAATACCCAGTTCCATGGAGGCCGATTTACGTTCTGTTTGGATATTATAATTGGAAACCATGATAGTGCCACGAGTGGGTTCCAGTAGACCGGCCAGAATCTTGAGCAAAGTGGTCTTTCCACAACCATTGTGTCCCATTAGGACGGTGACCTCGTTCTCGTAGACATTCCACGTGAAAAGATTCAAGGCCGGACGATCGTTGGGCCCGAATCGTTTGCATACTTTTTTAATTTTAACTTTAAATCGTCGATGCGACGGTTCGACTTCATAGATTTTGGTAGAATTGACACCAATACCCTGACCCTGATGGGTGAAACTATCGCCGCGATCATGATAGCCATCTTCGCTCAAACTATTTAATCGATTCGTCGGTTTCTTCGTCTTTTGGCTGGTTCGATCCACGCCACGCCACATATCCATGTACAAACCAACGACAGTGAAGATCAAACAATCGGTTAAAAATACCCATGTACTCGTCTGCACCGATATCGGGCCATTATTATAGTTCAGATCGTATGAGAAATTATCCCAGTACTTTTGAAAGAGCATTTCACGTTCAACGATACACTCGAATACCATCATTGCAACGACATTGGGCAGAATGTAGGATAAATATCGCAGAGCCTGGATCTTAACATTTGGATTATTCCAGAGGACAAACGATGGCATATAGGATATCGCCCAGACAAGGGTAACCACACGAACGGCATGAACGGTGTCCCGGAAAAAGGACGCTATCATCATAACCATGGCAGTGCTGGACAAGTTATAGGTCATCAGTACAAGTAACAGGATGTACCAGGGCGTTTGGGTCAAAACAGCATGATCATTACTCCAGTGAACCTACAAAATAATTATTATTTTATATTTTTTCTAAGCGCTGAACTTTTCTTACCTTTAAAAGTAGCGTAACAATGGCGGAACTGATAAATAAATAGAGAAGTCCTTTAAAATACCAGGATATAAAGTGTATAAAGTTGCCAATGTTCATATTGATGAGATATAGACGTAAATTTGATTGTTTTTCCTGAACCATTTGCTGAAAAAAAAATTTATATTTGGGTTATAAAGTTATTTATTAGAGAAACCAATGGAGAATATAACTGAATATATCTGTCATATAACTGAACGATCGGAAATGCCATACCTTTGGAATTTTTAACTTAAAAGGTTGGGACTTTCTATGGATGATGTTCTTAGTCATCCAAGATCGGCCTGTCATATATAATATAACTGAACGATCGGATATGCTATAACTTTTATGATAATGCAGATAAAATCCTGGGCTTTTACAAAATTTGTCTGTTAATGAAATTCCTATAATGATCAGTTTGCTATATCAGATATCTTTAATTCCTTTTAAATTCTGAAAATTTAAAAACTCATATATTCATTGGCTATCTTTAAGGACCACTAGAAGTCAAATAGTAATAAAAAATTTAAAAAAATATGATATAAGTTAATTAGTAATTAAACTCTCATATATTTTGATTTTTTTAAGGGCCACTAGAAGGCAAATAATAACAAAAACAAATAAAATGGTAGTTTTTTTGCGTATAAAAACATTTCAGAAGATGATTTAATTCGGTAACTATTCAATGAAATTTTTATATTTGTTTTTTTTTTTTGTTTCTTTTTATGTCCTAAATTTTTTGTTGTGGTCAAGTGGTCAAGTACCAGGTGAAGGAGAAAACAGAGACATTGATCATAAGAAAAAAAATGTATCAAAGAACAGAATGATTTTAAGGCTAAAATTAAATTGAATCGTCTTCATATTAGATACAAGATATAAAATAATAAAAAGAATCATTTTGAAAAGTATAAATAAAAAAAATCAGAGACCTAAAGCAGAAGCGAAACAATAAGGTATAATACCCATGCACAGTGGTCCGGCTTGTATGAAGAAAGCGGCCAAAAATACTTCTAGTTCAGGTAGGGACTGGAAACTTGGCACAAAATATTTATATTTTTATTCTAAAATAATATATTAAAATCAGCCAGATCGGGCAACTATATCATATAGCTGCCATATAACTGATTGATCGAAAATGCTATAACTTGGATGTTTTTACAGTTAGAGAGTTCAATTTTTGTAAGAATGCTATATTTGACAAAATAACACGACCTACCAAATTTCATAAGGATCAGCCGACTATATCTTATAGCTGCCATATAACTGATTGATCGGAAATGATATAACTTCGGTGTTTTTAAAGCTAGAGAATTCTGATTTGGTACGAATGCTATTTTTGGGAAAATAATTCAACATGCCAAATTTCATAAGGATCAGCCGACTATATCCTATAGCTGCCATATCACTGAAAAAACGGAAATTACCCAACTTTCATGTTAAGATGGTGTTAGTATTTTTACGATATTAGACACATAGGCAAATTTTGGCAAAAAATTTTTGCACATTTGTTACCCTTGGAGACCGACAAACACATTGGTATATAAACGAATTGTAGAATTTTGTGGGATCACTACTAAAACTTCAGCTAAACATGAAAAATACGTTCAAAATATAGGAAAAAAACATGCATTAGTTCATAGTAATATAATAATAACAATAATTATTATTTATATATCAAATTATATCTCATTTTATAGAAAATACCTTCAACTTCAAAATCCATTACAAATAATTTGAATTTGAACACGTAAATAATGATCTGACCACTTCAAAGTGCGGTATAGTTGTGAAATATTCGTGATGCGCGCAGCCGCGCTTTACAAATGAGCATCTTCAAATCATTTTTTAGAAAATCCAGTTAGATTTTTAGACAAATCTGGTTTGTCATGAAGAAGCTTGGACATTTTAGAGGCGATTTGTTTACTTTTCGATTATTTTTGTCGTTATCAATTTTTTTATTTTTGGCCTATGGGAGCAACCACTGTGCCATGGTTGGTGTAATATACCCAGAAAATAAAATAAATAAGTCGAATAGTAATTAAACTCTCATATATTTTGATTTTTTTAAGGGCCACTAGAAGGCAAATAATAACAAAAACAAATAAAATTGTAGTTTTTTTGCGTATGATAACATTTCAGAAGATGATTTAATTCGGTAACTATTCAATGAAATTTTTATATTTGTTTTTTTTTTTTTGTTACTTTTTATGTCCTAAATTTTTTCTTGTGGTCAAGTGGTCAAGTACCAGGTGAAGGAAAAACAGAGACATTGATCATAAGGAAAACAATTTATCAAAGAACAAAATGATTTTAAGGCTAAAATTAAATTGAATCGTCTTCATATTAGATACAAGATATAAAATAATAAAAAGAATCATTTTGAAAAGTAGAAATAAAAAAAATCAGAGACCAAAAGCAGAACCGAAACAATAAGGTATAATACCCATGGTTGGTGTAATATACCCAGAAAATAAAATAAATAAGTCGAATAGTAATTAAACTCTCATATATTTTGATTTTTTTAAGGGCCACTAGAAGGCAAATAATAACAAAAACAAATAAAATTGTAGTTTTTTTGCGTATGATAACATTTCAGAAGATGATTTAATTCGGTAACTATTCAATGAAATTTTTATATTTGTTTTTTTTTTTTTGTTACTTTTTATATCCTAAATTTTTTGTTGTGGTCAAGTGGTCAAGTACCAGGTGAAGGAAAAACAGAGACATTGATCATAAGGAAAACAATTTATCAAAGAACAAAATGATTTTAAGGCTAAAATTAAATTGAATCGTCTTCATATTAGATACAAGATATAAAATAATAAAAAGAATCATTTTGAAAAGTAGAAATAAAAAAAATCAGAGACCAAAAGCAGAACCGAAACAATAAGGTATAATACCCATGGTTGGTGTAATATACCCAGAAAATAAAATAAATAAGTCGAATAGTAATTAAACTCTCATATATTTTGATTTTTTTAAGGGCCACTAGAAGGCAAATAATAACAAAAACAAATAAAATTGTAGTTTTTTTGCGTATGATAACATTTCAGAAGATGATTTAATTCGGTAACTATTCAATGAAATTTTTATATTTGTTTTTTTTTTTTTGTTACTTTTTATGTCCTAAATTTTTTCTTGTGGTCAAGTGGTCAAGTACCAGGTGAAGGAAAAACAGAGACATTGATCATAAGGAAAACAATTTATCAAAGAACAAAATGATTTTAAGGCTAAAATTAAATTGAATCGTCTTCATATTAGATACAAGATATAAAATAATAAAAAGAATCATTTTGAAAACTAGAAATAAAAAAAATCAGAGACCAAAAGCAGAACCGAAACAATAAGGTATAATACCCATGGTTGGTGTAATATACCCAGAAAATAAAATAAATAAGTCGAATAGTAATTAAACTCTCATATATTTTGATTTTTTTAAGGGCCACTAGAAGGCAAATAATAACAAAAACAAATAAAATTGTAGTTTTTTTGCGTATGATAACATTTCAGAAGATGATTTAATTCGGTAACTATTCAATGAAATTTTTATATTTGTTTTTTTTTTTTTGTTACTTTTTATATCCTAAATTTTTTGTTGTGGTCAAGTGGTCAAGTACCAGGTGAAGGAAAAACAGAGACATTGATCATAAGGAAAAAAATGTATCAAAGAACAAAATGATTTTAAGGCTAAAATTAAATTGAATCGTCTTCATATTAGATACAAGATATAAAATAATAAAAAGAATCATTTTGAAAAGTATAAATAAAAAAAATCAGAGACCAAAAGCAGAAGCGAAACAATAAGGTATAATACCCATGGTTGGTGTAATATACCCAGAAAATAAAATAAATAATTCGAATAGTAATTAAACTCTCGTATATTTTGATTTTTTTAAGGGCCACTAGAAGGCAAATAATAACAAAAACAAATAAAATTTTAGTTTTTTTGTGTAACTATTCAATGAAATTTGTATATTTGTTTTTTTTTTTTTGTTACTTTTTTTATCCTAAATTTTTTGTTGTGGTCAAGGGGTCAAGTACCAGGTGAAGGAAAAACAGAGACATTGATCATAAGGAAAAAAATTTATCAATGAACAGAATGATTTTAAGGACAAAATTAAATTGAATCGTCTTCATATTAGATACAAGATATAAAATAATAAAAAGAATCATTTTGAAAAGTATAAATAAAAAAAATCAGAGACCTAAAGCAGAACCGAAACAATAAGGTATAATACCCATGGTTGGTGTAATATACCCAGAAAATAAAATAAAAATTGATAAAAATATAAAATACAAAAATAAGAAAATCAGCCGAATATAATATATATTGTAATTAGAGGCCAGTATTTGGATGAAAATGAGAATAAAGAAATAAAAATAAAACAACGAAAACTCTAGTAACTCTAATGAGAAAATAGATGTGGTTGGTTTGACTCCACACGCGGTTCTGGTGGAAATTACATCATCTCGCCTTTATATATACACTGGTAGAGGCAAAAATGTCCTAACGCCATTAGTTTGCCTATATGGAATTTTAAATAAAATGGGATTTGAGTTCTGTCGCGTCCAAGGTCACACTTTTTTATGATACAAATTCAAAAAAAAATCAATCACAACTCGATATATTATCGATTTTAAGATACTCGATTTTAAAAACCATATATAAATATAGAATAAGTTTTTTTTATAATAAATTATCTTTGTCTTTTTTAAAGAAACATTTTTATTAACTATTATACCTTTGCAGAGAGTAAAAATAATTTAAGGTAGAATCGGATCAGGCTTGGTGAGGATATAGCCATAAAAAGGAAAAAAAAAAAGGTGTAAAGGAAACACCCTATTCATCATCACGAAAAATAGACAAGAAATGTTTCAAGGTACTCCGCTAAATAATCGGCTCCGTATTGGGGAAGATATAGCAATCACTGTGGGCCAAATGGGGGAAAATGGACAATGGAAAATGGACAAAAAATCTAAACAAGATTTTTTCTCAGCATTTTGATGCAAAATGGTGGAGAATTGATCCAGAAACCGATTAATGTATCTCGCTTGCAAATCGGATCAGGAATGGGGAAGATATAGCCATCATTATGGGCCAAATAGGGGAAAACCTCATTTTCAAG